GTGAGTGAGTGAGTGAGTGAGTGAGTGAGTGAGTGAGTGAGTGAGTGAGTGAGTGAGTGAGTGAGTGAGTGAGTGAGTGAGTGAGTGAGTGAGTGAGTGAGTGAGTGAGTGAGTGAGTGAGTGAGTGTGAGTGTGTGTGAGTGTGTGAGTGAGTGAGTGAGTGAGTGAGTGAGTGAGTGAGTGAGTGTGTGTGTGAGTGAGTGTGAGTGTGTGAGTGTGTGAGTGAGAGAGTGAATGAGTGAGTGAGTGTGTGTGTGAGTTCATTCAGGCCAGTTCCCTGTAACACTACACACACATTTACCTCACATGAGGGCAGATGAATTCACAGGAAGTATTCATAATTTTCCAGGATAACATCACATAAAATATGCAAAATATAAACAAAAACACTTCCATGGCACTCTGGACCTGTAACAAAGTAGCTGAGTGCTTTGGAATAGCATGTCAGCGGGTATATTTGTAAGAACTATAGCATCACTGAACCATTGTACATTCCGATGACGTTCCATAACTTTTTACTAAAAAATAACATTTCCAAAAATCACCAAGTTGATTTTCATTGGAATTTTCGGCTACCAACAATTTCTAGTTATAGATTTAATGATTACTGGTGTCTTCAATAAGTCCCTTGATGGACAGACTGAAGTTTCAACAAGTTTTTTTTTTTTTTAACTTGAAAATATTAATACTACATTTAATACTGCATCACGTGCTAAAAACCATGCTACACATCCATAAACATGATGGTATGTTTGAAAACCAATATCAACAAACCCAGAGCTTGAAATCCCACAGCTGCTGTAAGCGAGACAGAAATGAACAGAAGTGAACGGGACAGTTTATAGTTGAGCCCTAATGAGTGCACGCTTCTGCCGCAGCAGCACATCGAGCAGCCTCCTCGCGGCGGAGATCTGGCGGAGAGACCGCGCGCATCAGCGAGGCGCAGCATCCTCACGACCTCCGATGAAGATGCGCACCATTCACAGACTCTATCATCGCGATCCAGAAGACAGACTAACCTTCCTCCTCTCCCATGCGTTCGTCCTTCCAGGTGCAGCACAGCAGCATCAACCTCATTCAAGCCTCGGACCGGGAGCGGCGCAGCAGAAAGCCTTGCGCGGTCAGACACACTGGAGAAACGCGGCCGCTGGCACTGCCCTAGTATGGCGAGGGCTCGCCTCATCAATATGACACACGCCCCGTTACTCTGCTGTCAGATTAGCTGAGGCTCGGAGTCGGTTAGTGGGCGGGAGTCCGCTGGAGAGCTTCGCTATAGTAGGATTTCTGCTGGACAGACGCGGGGACCACGGGCCAACCAGCACTATCCCTGGAGCGCAGTCTCTCTGGAGTGAGCTCACAGTCAGATGACTCCACAGTAGCCTAGTGCTGCGGCTCAGTGTGCCTACTTATACAACGCCCTTAAAGTATGTACTCTTTTGGTGAAGAAACAGTACACAGTTTTGAGTGTGTAGTAGAAGAGTAGGCAAGCTTTGGGACATACTATCACGCCACACAACTGCGTCTTTAAAAGTGAACCACTGCTGTTGAAATATAAACACAGATAACATTAAATAAATATTTTTTACCAGGTTAAATTTTGAATATTTTTCTAAGCCTCTCTACCTAACCGCCATGTTTGTAGTTTTAACGCGTTTTATTCGTGTTTGTAGTTCTGGACAGAATCCTTCACCAAAGCGCAATGGATTGTGGGCACTATTAGCCTTTAGAGTGTGCAGGATCCACACTTCAGACATCGACCTGAAGCAGTAGACCATCCGGGGACTTCTGGCATACTCTTGTCAACATGCTATGCTTTGGCACACACTTATTCTAATCTCACACACTATTTAGGATGGATAGTGTGAACATTTTTTTATTTAATTTTTTTATTATAATATATGAAACACAGAATGGCATTAATATACTACATGCCAGCGAGCAAGAAAATACCGTACATTTTAAAAAGATTCACAGTTTTTACAGCATTCTTATTGGAAGAGTCAGAGATCAAATACAGACACAGTTCTAACTCTTCCAGAAAAAGGTTAAAGAAAGGCTTACACTTACAATACTTTCAAAATGTGTATAACCCAGAATAACATTTTCATATTTCAATGAAATTTCAGGAATTATACCACAAAAAAATACTCAATGTTTTCCCACAGATTCTTAGTATACTCGCAATACCAAAATAAATGAGACAAATCAGAAGGAGCAATTTACATCAAAATCCTCAGAAATAAACCTTTGTAAAAAAGCATTTTGTGGGACAGCACCGATGTATCATTTTATAAGACACTTCTTTTATCTTATTGTAGAGTGGGGCAAAACCCCCTCGAGCCCAGTTAAATCCCCTACACGCGTGTCTGCTCCAATAAAAGCTGGCATTCGGTCAAGAGACAACCTGGTCCTGGAACACAGCACGGATGCTCCTATTGTCTGATTTGGTGTTAAGGGATAATTTACCAACATATGTATCAATACACTGAGATACGGCACAATCTGAGAGACCTTGTTATTACAACCCTTCATAAACATAATAATCCCAGAAGGGATCGCTCCAAAAACAATAGCCTATTCTTTTGCTGTAAAAACTCAAAACCCTTGGTCACTGAATAACTGACTCACCAAAATAATATTATTTTTAGCCCAATTATCAAAATAAATGGATGTATTCTTGTACAGCAGATCTCTGTTGTAGGATAGTGTGAACACTGAGACGCAGGGTAGCACTTGTGACGCTGACTAAAAGAAAAGGAAGTAACATTTGATAAAATAATGACAATATCCATTTCGTTTCATATATATATATATATATATAAAAATATACATTTTATTTGGAGGTTAAAATTGTTTTTATCTCGGAAAATGTCATATTTTTATGAAAAAAACAACAGAGTCTACTTTCATTGACTTAATAGAAAGAATACAGCACCTGTTTAGAGATATCACGGATACAGTTTTTAGTTTGTTTGTTGTGAATATAGAATATTGGATTTATGACTCATACACTGGCTGCTGGGTCTATAATTCTGTAAATTGTTTTATAAAAGGTCCGGCCCTTGATTTTGAATGCCTGGGCCTCTTTGGACGCCGTTGTAAAATACTCGGGAAACACACGCCTGTGACCTCATTACTTCAGATGCAGTTGCTGTGTTTATTTGATGAAATCTATGTGTGGTAACTGTTTTATTAAAGCAATAATCCACATGAAGCTGTGGTTTACAGTGATCTCAGAACAGCTAAGGGGGTTTTAGACGTGATGCAACAGTCACAGTGTGTGTTTATCATTTTACACAATCATGCACACCAAGAAACGCAGTTTGTGTGTTTTTAAAAATATTTTATTTCATTTTTTTTTTTCACTAGAGCAGGTAAAATGCCGGGATTTCCGGGAACTAGTCAGAATATAGGTTGTGGAAAAGTGCAACAGCCCCGCCCCTTTATTTAAATAAGAAGGAAATCCCAGGGCACAATAGAGAAGAGCTGGTAGGGCTCACAGGCAGCTCAAACACATTACTGCATGATAAAGTGTCTCTCCAGACGGATCGAAAAACTGTATCAAAAACTGACACATTATATGTTTGATAATACATTGGCTAGTGAGGCTCTTGGGACACACACACACACACACACACACACACACACACATCTTAAAATAGCACACACAGTTTTGCAAGTGCCACAGTGACTACAATGCAGAAGCGATTTAAAGCAAAGAAGTTATTGTCATATGATGTGTACAAACTCGATAATTGCTCAACATGTCAAGTTCAAATGTTGCAAAACAACATAAGACGAAGTAACATGTTGTTAAATGATCCAGTCTACTGTAAGTGTGTATATATATATAACTAATTCTATGTGAATACACAGCGATTAAAGAAACACATTTTTGGTCAAATGATGGAAGCACCTGTAGTCCCCGGGTCCAGGGAAAAACATAAGCATATCTTTTAATCTTCCAGGTTTAAACATACATAATGTACAAGTCAGAACTATGATTACTATTTTACACGGTTATTTTCAGTTTGTTCCCTTCACCGGACAGATACCAAAACAGAGGATTGATGTTAGACGTAAGCTGTCATTCACTTCTGCTGGTTCTCAGCATAATCAGAGCAGAGCTCTTCATACTTCACACGGTGTGCAAGAGTGAATGCTGCGATCGCTGTCGCTGTCAGACGTTCTGCCATCCACAAAGCTCTCTTAGCATAATATGTGTATTTCTATGCCTGCAATACACATTTGCATGCATATTATTACGGCCTGTTTACAAAAGCACCCTTTCAAAAGCGTCTCCAATCAGAAGATGAGATTCAAACTGAAGACACTCTGATGCTTCATGAAAGCCTAAATCATCTAGAGGGGGTGAATCTCACTAAACATCTCAAGAACATGTCACGGGCCACATTTCATCGCTAAATTAAAAGAAATTATATTTTCATGAAGAAAATGAAAATAATGTTAGAAATGAAAATAAGTTCATCACAAAAGTATTTATACATCATGAAAGTATTTGTTTTACTGATTTTAAATTAAACTTTTTTTGTAGCACGCTGTATTACAGTAATGAGAATAAGATATTGCCACCGAGAACATTTAATAATTACAAATAATTAAAGCACCAAATGCATTAGAATTTTGGTCTGAAATGTGTTTAATAGCAACAGAATCTGTGCGCCTACCTAAAACAGGCTTACGTTTCTTCATGCAAAATATAATTTGTGTGTGAGAGAGTCACCCATAAAGGACTGTAATCGTAAAGCCGCTGAAGGGTGAAAATAACAGGCAAACCCCTAAGCTGAAGCACAGCCAGATGTGAAGTATTTAATCAGCAGTATGACGCTATGACAGGACTCTAAACCTGCACCACCGATGTGACGCGAGGACGCTGGATGATGTTGTGCAGGCAAGAGATGGCATTACTTCAAGAGTCTAGAGTGCGAGATCGTGACTGCAACTGAGCAAAAGAGCTTCGGATGGTCTCAGAAACGTCCACAAATAAGAAGTCGTGGTTAAAACGTTTACAGCTACACAACAGCATTGCCAGCTAATCAACCCGGTTATAATAGGAAACAGTAACATGATGGAATGTGCCATTAGGATTGGAATTATTTTCACAAATCACTAGGCGTTTCAGAGATCTGGACTTGGATTCATAACAAATATTTACCTTCAGTACAAAACATAACACTTGTGCATGTTGGGATTGTTTGTTTGAGTATCAAAAGTACATTCTGGAGCATGCAGTAGCACCATGTTTCTTGAGGTCACTTCACATCTCAAGAGATCCTTTACTTTCTTCTCCTCCCGCAGTATTTTCCTTGGCAGCCGGCTCCACCTGCAGAACAACACCACAGACAAAACCTCATCACACACCAAACACTGCAGTACAAACATCTTCATTTGGGTTCTGAATGAATGAAAGACAGGTGGGTTTGAAACGGCATGACGATGATGACAATCTTCATTCGTGGGTGAATTATCCCTTGAAACGTGAAACAATGATGTATTGATATCATTTCTTGATTTGATTCATTTCTTGAACTGATTCAAATTTTGATTGAAAAAAGCAGAATGGTCCTCTGGGGCATCTCGACTACTTTAAGACGTCCACCAGTGCGGATCCGCTTTATAAACTCACATATGTTCAGCGAATCATGTAAAGGCAAACTTCAGAAGAAGTAGGCCAGTGTTTGGTGTGATTTGGGATCAGGACGTTTAGTTGAGGACATCAGAAATGAGAGCAGTGATTATGAGAAATCGGTGATTACGTGGCGGCAGGATTAATTCTGACTCATCGGTTCACTGCAGACTCTCGTACCTCGATAACCTGCTCCCAGGAATCCCGTCAGTCCACCTCCGTATTTGGCTGCTTTGGCTGAGGAAAGAAGCACAAGTGAAATACACATTAAAGACGAACTGGTGAAATCGGCACCTTGATTGCAACGCAAGTTGAACTGGTTAAGAAAAAGTCTGCCAAATGCATCAATATAAATTTAATGCTGGATGTGCTAACACTGGTAATCTTACTCTTTATTCACACGTACCGTCAAGAAAGTTGCATTATCTGTACAGTTTCAGCACTGATGTACAGGCATTTCTCCTGTTGACACCCCATATTTGACATGAATGCATGAAGCTATCGTACGAGTTCAAAATAGTGCCCGAGTTGTATGGACCGCTTTTATGATACTTGTTTTACTTTCATTTAGCAGCTTGGAGATTCTTCTTTAGTTTGAATGAATTCCTTCAGTGGAATGCATGTAGTTCAGCGGTTGTCAGTTCAACCACTAGAGCTCAGCCTCATTCTGCTGCATCTTCCAGTGATTTTTTAAGGGTTTGTAAGAGCTTTTACCTTGTTGTGGTGACAGTCCTGCTCCATACCCTCCTAAAAACACAAGAAATCATTGATGTATTATTATGAGCTGTTCAAACCACATGACTGTGTGACTGAGAGAAATGTGACATTGTGTCTAATTATGTAAGTAAAACGATGGATAACTGTGTGAAATCGATGCCTACAGGAACTGTGAGTAAGCCAAAGGACAGCGTCAGGATTACGGTTTGTTCCAGCAGGAGATTTATGACCAGCTGTGACCAAGAGCATCTGGACGGAAATAATAATAAAGCCACCGAGCGTCTCTGCGTTGTTATTATATAATAACTAACAGCGTGTTGTATGACAGCGTGAGTATTAGTAAGCGCTGAGACTGGCATTATGGTCAGAAAGCAAATACGCTTTGTATGATATTTGCCCTTCAAGCCGACGCTTTTAATAGCGAGTTGATTTCAGCAGGCCAGTGTCAACATGTCCTTCTGTAATGATCAATGTCTTTTTTCAGCTTATTATCTCTCAGGATATAGTGTTTAAAGGGGTCCTATTATGCTTTTTCCCCTACATTTTCAACTTCCTTTAGTGTGTAATGTTGCTGTGTATGCATGAAAAAGATCTGCCAAGTAAAAGCACGAAGCCACTCCAAAGGGAGTAAGCACTGTTTCTGAACTCCCTCAAACGTCTCAACTGTATTCCTGAGTTTTCTTTTGGGAATATACACATCACAGTATCCCACATTTAAATAATTCCCGGCCAAAGCATATGCAAAAAACTAAGAGTGGACGAGAGGCCTGGTTGAGTAGCGTTAGTAGCGTGTTTTATATACTAATACACATGCAGCTGTTCACAGACATAACCCACGGTGTTTATGTTAAGTTTGTGTGTATTTGACATAACCTTGTGTGTATTTGACAGCTGATGCAAAAGAGCCGAATTTCTGTGTACTCAGAAAACTGTATATCAGAAGTTTAAACTGACAAGGCTTTTTAAACGCATGCAAAGAGTAAACTGTTCAAGATGACAAAGAACTGCAACATCACGTGAGTGTGTGCACGACAGATATGATGCGTTTGTTGTTGCTGGAGTACTGTATCTGAAGAACAGTCTCCGCCCTCTTGGTTTCATTACAAATAAAACCAAAAAAACGTGGTTATTGCCATTAAACCATGGTAGCCACAATTAACCATGGTCTTGCTACACTAACCATAGTTTAACCATGGTATTTGTAATAAAACTGTGGTTATACAAATGGTAATCAATCCGCCAAAAAACATGGTGACTACACTTTTACTACAGTATAACCATGGTTATTTTTTGTAAGGGCTGGCAGCAGCTCATTTGCATTTAAAAAGACAGACGAAAGCCAGCATGTCTTTTCTTCCACCCAAACAGGCATTTACAGCGAGGAATAATAAATGCTCTGCGAGCTGAAACTTCACAAACACATTCTGGGGACACTTGAGACATCTTGTAAAAAGGGCATAGGGACCCCTTCAATGGTATCACATACTTACAATTAACTTAACTTGAGGTCATAATTAAACACATACATGACTAGCTGTCAAAGTATCAGTGTCTGGTTCTGTGCTCAGATACTGCAGGGAGTCTCTCACGTGAAACTACACGTTTGAATCAGCTGGAGATTCAGTGATTTTAGTGGATGTATGAAGTCAGTTCCCCTCAACTTCACTCAGGGGTTTTAGCACAGGTGTAGTCCATTACTTCAACTATTATAATGATCCACTCATGTTTGGTGGACTGCATCTGAAACACATTTCTAAATCAAATATGTTTTCTTGGCTTGAAACAAGGTTAAATTATATGTGATCATATTGCTAAAATGAGTTGCTTTGATTTCTTTATATATTACATTATATTTGATCATTTCTTCATGTTAGTAAGTAATTTCACTACTCTAAGTGTAAGAAAGCACTACATTTGGGAAAACATCAGTAGACTCCATTTCAATATATGTGACAGAATTTATGGCATTTTAGCCTCTTTCACACAGAAATACCAGTAAATTGCTGTAAAAGTACCGGAACAACTTTATCGGTAAATACAAAAATGCGCTGTTCACACAGACAGCATTTTTGGCTCAGAGACATCGCATTAGACGACTCCAAACTGAACTACACAGCACAGAGTAAACGCGTCATCTGCGTCAGAATGTTCTGATTGGCCCAGAGTTAGTTGTCTTATATCAGTGCATTCTGAACTCATACGAGCTCATATCGGTAATCTTCATTCTGCGTTCACACAGAGCAGATTACCGTAATTTACTGGCAATGTTACAACTTCTCATACCGGCTAATTTCCAGAACGAATTTACTGTTTCTCTAGAAACTAAAGGAAATGTCAGGGCTTTCTTACTCTGTCGCCTCTCTGTCTGCGATGTAGTCACAGACCCATTCCTGCATCAGAACAGCAGTGAATGTGCTGTGATTATCTGCCTTAAAAGCACAGCGGTGACTGGACAGTCATTCGAGCACCACAGTACTGTATATGTGTGAATAAATCTATATTTTACAATTAAGCAGCAGTTCTGTTCCTGTCCTCTATGACACATCTGCTGATCCTCTGTTATAAACTTGGAGCTAAAGACTACTGAGGCCTTTATGAAACGAGCAATGTGCTCTTTGAACTGGAAATATACTAGTCTGATACAGAGGGGCTGAATTTCGTATAAAGATACAATATGAATTAAGCCCGGGATTATTTCTATAAAAGGCTACCTAGATATGCTTGTGGATATCCTCCATATCCTCCTGGAGCTACACCACCTGTAGGAAGAAAAGACAAAAAGATTTAGTTCTGTAACTCAATTGATCTAAAACACAGTAATTATCAATAGACAAGATTAGTAGACCTTATAACTTGTAATCTCGTAAAGTGTAAAGACTTTATTATCTTGGTAAATTTAAGCACAGATTGAGATCTTTATATCTATTCTGAAATGCCAATGGAGACAAATGTAAGATTATCTCAGTCTATTTCTCAGGAGAAACATCTGTGTCTGTGAAGTATTGTGAATATGGCAAGTACCCTAGCAGATGGTTTTGCTGTGTATCTGTATAAGCAGAGATGTGAATTCTGAAAGGATGGTGCTAGAAAGAATACAGTGACACCAAATCACATGAAGGCTCACAGGATTAATGCAGACAAATCCATGATCCCAGCCTTACTGCAGTGTGTGTGTGTGAGAGAGTGATTACACAAGTGTGTGACTGCTATGAGTGTGTATGCATGTACATGTGTAATGAGCAGGGCGGTGGTGTTAGACTGCCTGGTTGACTGGGGGATTCTAGTGTCGAGAGAGCACCGGCATGCCATAAGACCGAATGGTACAGAAAAATAATTCCTGTTACTAACAGAATCACACATAATTGGAAGAGCTCGGCACCAGTACAGGCCCACTTCAAGCACTGCTTCTGGGTTGTTGAAAAGGTTTCTTTGGCTAGCCACATAATTTGCAGTGAAATCTGTGTCTGTAGTACAAACAGTGTGCTAGTCATATATTCAAGAACATGAATAGATGCCAGTTAAGCAATCAATCTTTGTCCAGTTAATGCTGGGCCTCACCTGGCTGTGCGTATCCTGTACCCAAAGAGCCGTAGCCTGTTGATAGAATTAGATGGGAAACACTCAGCACAATCATAGCTCACACAACTTAAAAAGAAAATCCCACATTGAATATTTTGTACTTGTTAGATGCACTTCCTTATATCCTTTACAATTCCCCAGCAGAGAAGATGTGCAGTTAATTGAAGCTTCAGTGTTAAACTGAAATACAGTGTGGAGTCATGTTGCAGAACATGAATATTTTGTATGCTTTATTTTGCTACCTGGTTTAGGTGGTTTAGCACCAGTTCCAACACCACCAGCTCCCACACCAACACCTGCTGGAAACCCTCCACCTGCAACAAGATGATCGCAAGGTCTTTAACAACAGTCCAGTAACATAACGAAAGCTAATTCAACAGTATATTCAGTATTTTGAGAGAAACGGTGTTTGTCATGTTACAGAATCAAGGCTGTCCCTGTAGAGGATGTCACAATTGATGTAATTTGCTAGATTATCATCACCTTCAGTCTGGTGAATCTTAATATAAAATTAGCTAGTTTTGGTAAAAATTGTAATGATGAAGCTTATACAACATCATGTTGATAAAACACAGGACAATCCTGTCTATCCTCAACACTCTGCATCACAGGATCTGCACTCCCCGCTATCCTTTGGAGTATCTTGAAGGGAAGTCTAAATTACTGTACACTGACTATCCATTAGGACTGGGGTACTTCAGGGTTCGATGCTTGGCCCCCTTCTCTTCGCGATATACACAACATCTCAGAGACCTATTATTATCATCATAGAAAGTTTTGTCCTACCACTGCTACGTTGATTACATGCAACTCAACTTTTCGCCCCAGTCTGACAATACTAATGTGGCTGTTTGGATCTCAGCTTACCATCATCCAGGGTGAAAGAACACGGTCTAACAAAGACAGAGCTCCTTTCAGGCCAGTCCATCAATTTAACACGACATCAATGAAAATGCCATGCAGGCCAGTCAGGAACTTGGGGATAGTGATGGACTGCCCAGTCATGGAGATTTACACACACAAATATCAGGAAAATCACAATCTTCCTAACTGAGCACAATGCACATTATCCAGGCTTTTGTATGCAAATGAACCAGAATGTGGTTCAATCTTACACCTCTGCGTAAAACATCACATCCAAGGCACTGACGCTTTGATCAGTTTCTGGAGTACCCTCCTACCTTCACTAACTAACTGCAAATCCTCCGTACAGAAGTCTACGGTTGGACAGCTGAGTGCCTCCATACCTTCAAGAAAAGTGTAAAAGCCTTGGACCATTCGAAAAGCATTTGACTCATGCATGCATTTGGCATGCATTTTTATTCAAAGAAACACCACACACCACCATCCAACTACCCCAACATTTTCGCATTTATGATTTTATATATATATATATATATATATATATATATATATATATATATATATATATATATATATATATATATATAAATACATTTAATTGTTTGATCACAATTATTGCTAGGGACAATTTAGTAGTTGCTGGATATTGGTAGGGACATGTCCCTGGCATGCCTACTAAATTCTACACCCTTTATTCAAAGTGATATATACTGTATTGCTTTAAAAACATGCATTTTATCAGTTCATGTATTCCCAGGGAACCCAGGACCTTAGTATTGTTAGTTCCATGCACTACGTTTTAAACTACAGGAACACTGCTAAATGATCAAGTATCAAGTAAAGTGGATTTGCATGGCATCTCACCTGCTCCAGGTATGAGTCCAGGAAAAGCCCCTGTCCCTCCAACTCCCCCTACACCTGCGACACTGCCTGCTCCTCCAACACCTGGACCAAACACACATGCACACACCGTGTCAAGTAGGGCACTGAGTCAGCATTAAGTCAGATCCAGATTTGAGAACTCCTCTATGCCTGCATGAACATGACCTTCCAAATAAGGTCCAGGTTGAGACATTATTCCAAAAAGTCTTACATTATCTTGTGTACCAGAAATTCCTATATATATATATATATATATATATATATATATATATATACACATATATATAGTAATCAGCATTTTCTGATTAAATGAATACATGCACATTCTTTTACAATGGATCTTGTCAATTCTGAAGATGTTTACATTAACTTAAAATTTCACTAGGTTTAATGCAACTGAATTTCACATATTCAACATCTGGGATATTGTTTTAATCTGCTTATAGCAGTCAAGATTTGATCAAGATTTTAACCAGTTAATTCTAATATCTGAATATCCTTGTTCATGTAAACTTCATTACTGATGCCTGAGTAATCTGTAGCAAAGATACTTATATGGGTATATATTTGATCTTACCAGGGGCTTTCAGAGGTTTGGCTCCAGGTAACACACCAGTTCCGATCCCAGTGCTTCCAGAAAATGGGCCTAAAACAACAGGAGGAAGAAACATTCAGCATGATTTTGACTTTGGTAAGTCTTTAATATGTTTTTGTCTTTAATGATGGACTAATACAATTTACCATAGCCATAGGGATAAAAACCTCCAGGACCTGTAAACACAAAAGTGTACTTTACACTGAAGTCAAATATAGGTGCCTATGGCAAAACTATCAAGCGGAATGGTAATGTTTCAGCATATTTACTCAACATTTGTTTGTTTGTTGTTTCTATGTAAACTGTACAGAACAGTGCTTAGCTTTGGGAGCATGTGCATATTCATTTCCCTTTTCATATGACAGAACTTACACTTCCTGGGTTTTACCTAGGGGGAGATTGTATATATTTCTGTTTTGTCACAGGACTATATTTATCTGTTGCTACAACAAAACTATGTTTGCTGAGTGTATACATCAGGATTTTTTTACCCTTACACTGATAGTGCTGTGGAATATGATACATAATATCAAATGCATCATGGTACTCTGCGAGACTGTAGTACTGAATAATTACATGTTCATTTATTTAAATGGTACACAAAATCTAGCATGGTTTCACCAGTCGTTGTCCAAAAATAAAATGAAATGAAATAAAATAAAATTATTTTTTATCTGATCTATCATGAAAAGCAACTTCAGCCTCACCACTGTCTGTGTGTGTGTGTGTCTGTGTGTGTGTGTGTTTCCTTGAAATCACAGATATTATGAGGACAGAGAATTGTCACAAATGATTTTGCCCTGCCCCCTAGTGGTACAACTAAGTAATGCACACATAAAAAAAAACATTTTACTGTGGATTGTTTCCTGAACATTTTCTCTGTAGAGACTGTATACAACTATACAGCGTTGGACTGTGAATTTTTTCATAGCGTGATTCCAAGTAAATGGGTCAAATGTCACGTTAAACAGGAAGTGGCTGGGTTTTGACAGGGAAGGATACACTGTGTTAAAGGAGGCTATTCAGCTTCTCTTCTGCTCAGGATGAATGGTGTATCTGCACCCCAGGACACATAATTCTAGATAAGTCACACCTCCAGAGTCTAATGTTGTATATTGAGGACTTACCTGCTCCAGGTTTAGAGACACCTGCATTCAAACAGAGAGAACACAGATGTGTGAGCTGCTGAACACATACTTACTGATGCTGGTAAAACTGCACGCATTCTATCTATTTGTACTCACCAGCACTAGGCACTCTTTGCGCACCACCTGAGTAACAGAACAAGCCATGATTATACGCGTACATCAACAATCAGATGAATGCACAAACACAAGCTACAGCCCAACAATGATCACAACCCCTGTGTGTCCAACAGTGAACCCCATCTTGGTCATTCTCAGGAAACTATCTTTTGAGCCCCAGTGACTGACTGATAGAATAACATTGCAGATGCTAATGTTTTGACAGATTTAACCCCATTCGTGACCACTGGTATTTAGTGGGTTACATTTAAATTAAATTAAACAAATTTCACCTATATTTTACATTTATTGAAATGACAATATCACTGTGTGTGTTTTTATAAAATGCATTTTTGAGAAAATACAGAATTTGTCTTTGTATCTTTTTTTTTGTTCAACCCTGTTATGCCGAGATATTTATAATTTAAAACAGCATGGATCAAACAGAGGTACATGTCTCTTACAGTCTTTAACTGTGTTTAAATAAGGTTACACTTACATTGGTCTGGTCGAGCTCCCCGGTTTATCACTGTGATCACACTGAAGAATTATTGCTCTTATAACAAAGCACAAGAATACTGAGTGTAAAAATAAAGGTGTGGTGAAAATATATTTGGTAGCTCAGGCTGTTATTAATCACTCCAACACATAACCACATAACAGGGTTGGCATGGAAAATAATAATTTCACAGGTTTTCTATCACAGATTGTGATTAAAAAGCACCTGGACAAATAAAACAGCATCCTGAGAATGACCCATCAACAGTTGATTAACAACAGATTCTGAATGCGTCTCAACATACGACTTTAACTTTTAAAATGAACTTTTGGCTTCATCCACCTATGGAGGGTGAAATAAGAAAAATATCAGCCAATGAAATTGCATTTTGCATTAAATTTGTCTGAATGGCAATGGGAATATTTAATGTTTGTGTATTTGTGTGTATTCGTGTCACTCGCATTCTCATATTTAAGATGATCACGCATCTATCTCAGATTTTGTGTCACTCAAATGTCACCACATGGAGTTCTGGAGAAAAAGAAAACTGATACAAGATAAATGTGTGTGATTTTTCCACTGGGGTTGTTCATGACAGATATGTTCGTCTTTGATTTGATATATTTAAACTATACAGTATATCATGTTGCAATTCCTAATAAAGTCATTTGCCAACTCTGCTTGATTTACCTCTAAGATCCAGTTGTTACCCGCACAGTTAATGTTGGTCCCTGCTTGGAACTAATCATATTCTTTCTTAGTACTTAGTGTGCATATTTTGAAGACACAAGACATCACCGGCCAGAGGACCATTCTTTACAGAGAAAAATCCTGCTACAGGTATAGAGTGTCAGTAACACATCTGAGAAAATGCAGAACGGCAAACTCAAGCACAGATAGCAGCAAAGGTTAGGGGGAAAATGAAGGAGCATTAAAGCTAAACGGTAATGGAGTTCCGCTACATTTAGACAAGACGTTTGTACATGCAACACAGTAGATCTTACTGAGCTCAGGGGCCTTGCCAGTTGCTACAATAGCCGTCGGTCCTGCCAAGAAACAACATGTTCCACCTTCAATCCTTGCAGTTTAAAGACAAGCAGTATAGAGGTGACTAGCTCAGAGGCCAGCGGAGGCAGAAACCAGAGGCTGCTGCTACAACAGGGTGCCATTGTGAAGGGGATGACGAAAACAAGCTATCAGTCATTATGGGATTGTAGGGCTCAATTTGATAGAGGGGAGGAAAGGAAAATACCAGCAAGCTGACAGGGGGTCGATGACCAGTTACAGGGGGAAGAGACACTTATACATAAGGTCAGCAAACAGATACAGGGATATTATTATCCGTAACAGTTGCCATTTTATCATCGGAACCTCAAAACCCATTTAAATATACTGTGTGTCTCCCTGTCTTCCAACTAAAAACAACAAAAACCTAGACAAGCTAGACAACATGTTTGGGTGTCATAGGTACATATCTATCATAAAGCTGTCTGAGATTGTTGGTACTGAAATATTGCTACCTTCTCAGATACTTAAATTTAGCCAGATTCACTCCACTATCTTGTCTAGTTATGGCTAACTATCTCTCACCTGACTCAGCTATAGTCCTGGAGATCACCAGTATTGTCATTCAGACCGTGTACAGCTACATCTAGCAACACTACAGTGAACATTTGGGAGGCACAAGAAGTGCTATCTCTTTTGAGCAAAGGAGCCCGACTTCTGCAGTCGCTATTGTGTATGTCTGTATGTTTTTCCCTGATAATACTGTCCCCGGGAGCTCTAGCAAGTGTAAGGCAAGACATTGTAGGCCTATTGCTCATAGCCCTGTGTTAGCCGGCCCGAGAGTGGTTCGGTACCCCTGGCCAGAGCAGTTAAAGTTATGAGTCTAACCCCTGAGGGGGACCCGATATTAAATTCTAGTCTCTCAGCTGAGGTTGTTGAGACCATTTTTGATTATTAGAGCTCCCTCTATTCGGAAAGTATATGCTCTGAAGTGGCAGCCTTTCACATCATGGTGCAAGCAGCATCATTTGGATCCAGTCCACTGCCTGGAACTTTCTGCATACGCAGATTGACAGCACATCATTGGGGAGATACTTCCTAATTTCTCGTGTTTTACATAAGATCAGATGTCTGTGGCCTCTCTTCCCAGTGAGAGCTCCTTCTTGGACCTATCTGTTGTCCTAAAAATGTTTATCCGACCCTCTTTTGAGCCTCTAGAGTCAGTTTCTGAGGATTGTCCTAGTAGAGGGTGGCTGAATCCTGTCCCTGGAGATCTACCTACCTGCAGAGTACAGTTCCACCCCAGCTCCAACACACCTGTCTGTAATTATCAAGTCCATTTTGTAGTATGGCATAGTGGGTATACAGTTCCCCATGGTGTCAGCAGGGAACGTCTTCGATACGTATGTAACCCTGCTTCCCTGAGTAGGGAACGAGACGCTGCGTCTCATTCCCATACTTCAGGCAGGCCTGACACGGTCATGAAGAGGGCATTCCCCATTGTGTCATCTCATGATGCAGCAACTTGTTCACTACTCAGGTTTACATACTTTACCTTTTGTCTTTTGTACATACACAACAGTTCACTATAATTTGTATGTATGACTGTTTGCAGAAAACCATTGAAAAACAGTTGTACGTTATTTGAATGAACTACTACTTTCTTTGGCAACAAACTGAAATGTAATTAACAGTGCATAGAGATCGCCCATTTATCAAACAGAATCAGTTTTTTTTACCTGGTACAGCAGTCCCTTCAGGAGCCAGGGTTGGAAGCTTTGCTGTGGAACAAACACATTAGTTCAAATCAAGCATGACATACTATGTGCTTCATGGCATTTGGTGGAGTAAGGCTATTTGTCATACCTGGTTTTCCACTTGGTGCAACGGGCAGACCAGTACCACTAGGAACACCAATGCCTGTGCCACCCGGTACGACCACCACATCACCACCAGGTGTTGCTCCAGGAGCTGCTATACCAGTTCCAGTGATCCCAGCACCTAGCAGACAATCGGAAAAAGTGGTTCAGGTGGTATCCATAATGTTGCATTACAAAAAGCATGACAAAAGGCAGGTAAACACAGGTTTAGATGGAGCAGCTTATAAAGAAATATATGAAGCTAATACTTTACCAATTTTAGGAGGTTTGACTCCACCAGGATATCCTGAAAACATTAAAATAAGACATTAAAAATGAATAAATTATAATTTCACATTGATAGTGACCTGATCATGGGTCAGTTGAATCAAATACCTCCAGCCCCGACTCCTGGTGTCAGTCCTGTCCCAGTTCCAGGCAGTGGTGCTCCTGCTGCTCCTGGAGGCAAACCATGTCACCATGCAAATTTAGTTAGCTTTTTTAAGACTACTGACATGTTAGGAACCTCAATTGAATGGATATGATATGAATTTTTCAAATGTGCTATTCAGATGTTTTTGTGTAAACAATAAGTAAAAAAAACCTAAATATAAACATACAAAATGTTAATCTCTCACCATATTTCGGAGGTTTAACTCCTGCTGGATACCCTGCAATAGCATCAATTCATTTTAGAGAATTAATCTTTTAGATGACAATTAATGATATATAATGCTTGCTTAATTATTATGAGAATTTAGTTAAATTAAAATATTTTAAATGTAATACTTTTAGGATTTAAGCACAAGTGAACTGTAATTTTAAGTGACAAATGTCTTGAATAAATGGTGCAACTATATGTATAATGAAAATGAAAGGAGACCTCCAGGTACTCCACCAGGTACCCCGCCTGGTACTCCACCTGGAACACCTGCCCATGAATGAGATTTGTCAAACTCTGCTCCTGCAAGCTCACACTCATCTGCATATACTTTTGAAAGCAATGCCCACATCTCAACATCCAATCAACAACCAAGGCATAGAACCAAACCACACTCTACTCCCCCCCCCCCCCCTTTTTTATAGTCCATTACATTTGGATGTGCATTACCGAAATCTGTCACTACTTCTGTTATGTCGTGATTTTAAGAGGCCTAAGAAGTCCTGCATATGCCGCCAGTGAGAAGACTGTTGTTTTCCAGTTAAGACCCAGTTATGGTCCTGGGGGCCCACCGCTCTACACATTTTGAATGTCTTTTTTCTCTGACACACTCAGTTCAGTTCATGGAACTCCTAATGAGATGATGATCAGAATCAGGTGGTAAATAAGGAAGACATACAAAATGTGCAGAGCGGAGGGTCTGTTTTTTTGTTATGACTTTTACGAATAAAGCCTATGCATGAGTGAATCATTCATAATAACATCTGTTACTAGCATTTAGAAAACAGATAGGGCAAATTTTCATTTCATCCAAATTTTTTTTTCAGTTTAGAACGGGGTAGGCAACCCTGCTCCTGGAGAGACACCATCCTGCAGAGTTTAGTGCCAACCCTAGTCAAACACACCTTAACTAGTTAATCAAGGCATTCAGGATTACTAGAAAATAACCAGCATGTTTGTTGGAGCAGGGCTGAAACTGAAGTCTGCAGTAAGGTAGCTCTCCAGGTGTAGGGATGGAGACCCCTGGTTATAGAGTTTCTATAGTATACTGAAACTCATATTTGCAATAAAGATGAAAACAATTTACCGTATTTAGGTGGTTTTACCCCAGTCCCATATCCTGTGAAAATATGAAATCTGCTTTTACTTTGGGTAAAAAGCATCTGTACAAATGCACAACTGAGAAAATATTTTATATAATAATGGCTAACAACTTTTCCACTTATTTCTCATTTAAGGTAACAGTCATCAGCCAACAATTCTCAGCATAACAAATTCCTAACCATCTACTGTACCACTCAAATGCAAGTCTGTGCTCTACCATTTCTCTCCTTTCACAGAGGTTTCTAAACATATCTACTAACACCTGCCCCATCACTGTATTCCTTTCCATCTTCTATAATAATTTATCTTTTTCCTCTCGTAGAACAGCCTGCTTGACATCAGTTCTTCAGCATAAAAAGCAGACATTCAAGGGAGACTGTATTTCTATCCATCATCCTGTGACATCGTCTCCTGGTTTGAGTCATATTGTACCTCTTACATTTATCTTTTCAGAACCCCATCCCCATCCACTTCTTGATATTGTGACGGATCGGCTGCCTCCCCCCTAATTATAATCATCACCCCATCCCTTAATCGCCGCCCTTCACAAGGCTCTCGACAGGAGGTGTGTGAGAGAGGAGGGGTGCAGAAACGGCCAGGTCTGGCGGTGTGTGATGAGGCACACCTGAAGTGAATCGAGCCTCTTCACAGCCACTGTTAAAACCCGAGCGCGCCTCTCCTCGAGAGACCAGTCTCTTCCCCCTGTGCATGCACGCTGGTGTCCTCGTGGGTCCAGAGAGGTGAGCGAGTGCGGCCGCCGGACTCCGCCCCCTATCTGGACCCCTCCTTTCTGAACACTGCCCTTCCTTAACAATTCCCCGGCACAACGAGGACACTAGATCCCCTGTTTATTTTGGACGCTATTTCCCTTTTGGACACTTTATTCCCATTTTGGACATTTTATGTTTATTTTCTGTTAAATAAAAGCCTCTCAGTCATTTGCTACTCCTGCCACAAGATACACAACTACACTGGCACCTATCATCAAGTTAGATGGTTTTTCCCTCCACTGCTATCCTGACATGCAGTCTTATGATCACACAGTGACTGCATATTAACTTGCCTCAGCTGGGATGCAACTAAACCATCACCAACTAGTGCTCCAACTACACCAACTCCAACTTCTAGTGAAGACTGAGCTCCTTGTCTTCCTGGCCAGTCCAATGCAGCACACCATCATCATTAATCTAGGCTTGTCAACAATATAAGGTAACTTTACAGTAAAAGGAATATCAGACTCTTAGACCCTTCTTATCTGAAGAACCTACCCTTCCTATGCAGTGGCACATTTGGTGTTCAGTGAACTCAAGAGAGAGACTCCATGTTACACCTCTTTTGTCTCATTCCATGGGGTACCAGTCTCTGCCTGCATCAAGTCAAAGCTCTGATGTTTAGCTACTTGCTTGTACATTTCTGAGCAAGTTTAGAAAACCGCAAGTTTTACAGCACATCATGTTGTTGTCTAATGAGGATTAATGTTGTAGCGTACTGGCTGAATATTTGGAAATGTAATAATTTACCTCCATATCCAGTTCCTGTTCCAACTCCACCTGGGAATCCACCAGCTCCACCCAAACCTAAGGACAGCAACGACACAAGGAAGGACATTTTATCATAACTTGTATATTCTGGAGAAATTGAATATATTTTAAAGTTGCGGGGCATTAGTGCCTCGTTTTAGTAAAAGTAGATGAGAGTAAAAATGAAAACATGTTCAGCAAAATTCTCTGCTTTGATATTTTAAACATAATAATATAAATAAAAATACCCAATAAAATTTAATAAACCAAAATTTTATAAAGCAAAAAAAAAAAAAAAAAATTCCAAATCTCAAGTCTATGTAACTGCTCTTTAGGTCTTGTATGTCTACCCCTTTTACCAGTCAGCAGACAAAGGTAGTGAACAAACCATCTCAAATGTCTGCAGCGGAACTGTAGTTTGCTTAAAATGCTTCAGTTTTACTTTATTTCAATTTTATCCATAATTACCAATATAATGTTTGTACAGTGCAAACCAGGAAAAAGAAAATTACTGAATAAAAAATTTAATCCATGCAGTCTCTAAATGAAAACCCTGTTGATCACCTCAGTTCAAACTCAATAATGTATTTTGTCACTTGTTTTAATAACCATATTTACTCACAATATAAACAGTTGTTATAGTCATAGTAACTCTGCTCACTGAAAGCCATTTTTGCTTACCTGGTCTCTGGAGTCCAGACACAACACCAGTCCCTCCTGGTAAACCACCACCAGCACCCAAACCTAGACAAATTATATTTTTATTTAGAGCTAAATTCAAGGTTCCTAAGATCTGGTTTATATGTATAATCAAGTAATATAAAGACCATATTTAAGAGCCTTGGCACCAGCAGGGTATCCTTAAACAGAGAAATATGAACAGTTGAGCAAAAAAAACGTGCTGAGGTCCATGCACTTTAATCCCCCCAAAAAAATAATTAATTCTTTTGACTTTTATATTTCATTATGCAAAATGAAGCCGTGATACCTCTTGCTCCAGTTATTGGTACTCCTCCAGGCACACCTCCTGGAACTCCTCCAGGCACAATAACAATAATCTTTGACCAAACAATACTCTACTGACAATCCTGTATTTACGTACAGGATTATAGGTCAAACATTTTTATATTATAATGTCAACACAATTTTCTATTACAAAATTCCAGTGCAAACGGAAAAAATAAATAAATAAATAAAATAAAATAAAATTGGATTGGATTTATCTAACATAGCATTGCCAGTGCACCTAAATCAGTGTCTTAGAAAAGAGTCAGACACATACCATATTTAGGAGGTTTGGCGCCAGCTCCTAGCCCTGAAAACATTTATCACTATTACTGAACATCAACCAAAAATAAACTACTATGAGAAACAAAATTAGCTTAACTGACAAACAACAGTTGTGAGAAATTGAGACAGTTGAACATATACAGACCTCCAGCACCAGGCACAGCTCCAGGAACTCTTCCGAGCCCAGCAACAGAACCGTAGCCTGGGACAACACTGGCCCCTCCTGCTCCTCCTACAGACATGACATGTGCAGCCATGCAGTGTCAATTTATTTCTTTAGATTTTATTATAACATACAAGATGTGTAGTAAAAGCGTTTTGAAACTGCTATTTCAGAATAATAGGACTTTCTACTTATGACCAATTATCCCAAGTCCTCCACTTGTACTGATTCATTTTTGAAAATATACTTCCCATATCTTACTCGCTCATTCAAAATACCATGACAAACCATGTTTTTTTTCCATTTATAATATGGCATGTTATTTAATGATTACCTTATTCATGTACCATTGTATTTACATGATTCTTCAAGGTACTTCAAAGAACACTGTACTAAGATTAAAGCACTAGCAGTAACACCAAGCTCTTGTTATTGTCCAGGTTCCCCAGTCTACTCAAGCCTGTACTGTACATACAGTACCTGAATCAAGTTATGCACCTATAAACTATAACTGGAAGAGAATTAGATTATTAGATTATTATTACTAGATTGTTAAATCCAATATACATGTGTAAAAGCTCTTACCATATTTAGGAGGCTTCACTCCACCTGGATACACTAAAAAAAAAAAAAGGAATTTGTAAAGTCATTTCTAGAATTATTATTTCATGGATTTTAACACTGGATTAACATTTCATTATTAGCAAAAATGTAACCTGATGACATGAATTGTAGGTTTCATCAGATGCAATATTAATGTAGTGTAAAACTCACATCCAGCCCCTGTTGCTGTTCCAGGAATTCCCCCAGCTCCCCCCACTACTCCACCAACTGGTGCACCTTTTCAAAATATTTTAATAAAATAAGCAGTGAACCATTGTACTACTTTGGGATATTAAAATCCATTCAGTAGCTTTTTAGTGACCGGATTTTAAGAACATCTAGTATGTATGTATGTATGTATTAGTGGCCAATTTTGGAACCAACATAGACAGAAAGAGATTGCATGTCCAAAATGTAAAGCTTTTAATGTGATGTTTAGGGACATGTCCATGTGAAATCAGATATATCTGAGATCTGAAGGCAAAGCAGAGTATACAGTTGTACTAATTGATATTTTGTTTAGTGGTGCCTCAGAATTTTGTCTAAGTGCCTCAAAAAACATTTTGATTGTTTGTTCCCACTCACCTCCAGCTCCAGGGTACAGTCCTCCAACACCAGTTACAACACCAGTTCCAGCTGACCCACCCAAACCTAGAAGATCAAGGGGGAATCCATTACACTTTGCTTTGTATCTGTGGTCTTAGAATAAATTATTCAAATCTCTGTGAAGTTCCACCACATACAAAGACCTGTTACCGTATTTAGCAGCTTTTGCTTGAGCAGAGGTAAGACCTGAGAAAGAAAGAAATGGTTTTGAGACTCTATAACCATTATAATGTTTCAATATTTTGTACAGACAGACAGATTCTTTTTTTACCTCCCATTCCAGGATAGACCCCTCCAGCTCCTGGCACAATCCCAGCACCACCAGGACCAATCCCAGCCGCACCAGGAACTACTCCTGCACCTGGAACAAAGCAGGACCATGATCTCTCAGTTTGACATATCTAATGCCATATCTCAGGGTTCTTCAATTCTGCTTCTGGAGGATCACTATCCTGTAGAGTTTAGTTCCAATCCTGCCTGTACTTTTCTAGTAATCATATAGGCATTAGCCGCTTTTCCACCGAAATTACCTAGAACAATTTGTCCCAGGAACTTATTTTCCCCCAGACCTGTTGCTGTCTGCTTTTCCATCGCGGTCCAAAGTATTGAGAAGATTAGGCAAATTGTCTGGTGACGTAGGTCTGTGTGCGATTCTCAAAGTATGCAAATTTCAGACTTGCGTCACTGGTAGTTCGGACTTCGCAAGTTCGAGTCGGGAGTGTGAACTCCCACAGACGGGACGACGCAAGTCCAGTAATTCTGCAAAGAGCAGCGTACTTGATAACATCAGTCAGCTCATCTTGACTACAGCAATTTTTCCTCAATGAATTTACAATAAGATGAAATATGGTATCAAACACCACTGCCTCTTTTCGGTTTCATTTAAACATATTAATAGTCGCAGAAATGTAGTTCAGGGAATGTACATACATTACAATGAAACAAACAGTACTGACTCTTTTCATTTTCATTTGAACATACTAATAGAAAAATAGAATAAAGACCAAAGATTACCTGTTAGATTTACCCGAAATGAATTACATCTTATGTTTAACCACTACAGAGACATCAGAGCCACCGGCAAATGTCAGAAGGACTAGCCGAGTAGAGGCTGCTCTCGTCGGGAAACATGAGCACTGAGCGCCCGCTGATCGAACTGGAGCTCATGTCTCTGAAATCAGCTAAGCACATTTTCAAATAGGCGCTGTCTTTGTAAATAAACCCCAGATTTGAGTTTTAAACAACTACATTCACCCCTGAAATACATTTAAAACTACATTTCATGACAAAATAACAGTAATATTGGTAAATATTATGCGGATATAGTGGTTGAAATACAATGCGGTATGAACTCAACCAATCAGCATGCTCAGTGGCCAAGTCCCGCCCCCGAAAGTTTTGGACTTTTGAAAAAGTACTACTTCGCGAGCAGGGACTTTCTGAGGGGCATATTTTTACCCGGAACTTTATTTAGATCTTGGTTCCTGCGATGGAAACAAACCGAGTACCGACCCAAAGTCCCTAGTTCCCTGGGGAAAGTTCCTGCGGTGGAAATGGGGCTATTGATTGGCTTTTTTGGGTGTTTGATTTGGGTTGAAGCTACAGTACTTGGGTTGAAACTCTGCAGGACAGTGATTCTCCAGGAGCAGAATCGAAGAACCATGCTATATCTGAATAAGAAGGATCCTAAATATGGGTACATGATTACCGTATTTAGCCGCTTTTGCTTGGGCAGGAGTAAGACCTTAGAAAGAAAGAAAGAAAGAAATGGTTTTGCGACTGTGTGATGACCAATATAATGTTTTAATATTCTTCAAGATATTTTGTACAGACAGACAGAATTTTTTTTTACCTCCCGTTCCAGGATAGACCCCTCCAGCTCCTGGCACAATCCCAGCACCACCAGGAACTACTCCTGCTCCTGGAACAAAGCAGGACCATGAGCTCTCACTTTGACATTTCTAATGCCATATCTCAGGGTTCTTCAATCCTGCTTCTGGATGACCACTGTCCTGTAGACTTTAGTTCCAAGCCTGCCTGTACTTTTCTAGTAATCATAAAGGCATTAGCCGCTTTTCCACCGAAATTACCTGGAACAATTTGGCCCAGGAACTTTTTCCCCCCAGACCTGTTGCTGTCTGCTTTTCCATCGCAGTCCAAAGTATCGAGAAGATTAGGCAAATTGTCTGGTGACGTAGGTCTGTGCGTGTTTCTCAATACAAAGTACACAAATTTCGGACTTGCGTCTTCGGTAGTTCGGACTTCACAAGTTCGAGTCGGGAGTGTGAACTCAGAAATGAAACAAACAGTATTGCCTCTTTTAATTTTCATTTTAACATATTAATATATTAATAGATTAATAGAATAATAGAATAAAGACCAAAGATTACCTGTTAGATTTACCCGTCTGCGTTTCTCAATGCAAAGTATGCAAATGTCGGACTTGAATCCTCGGTAGTTCGGACTTCGCAAGTTCGACTCGGGAGTGTGAACTCCCGCAGACGGGACGACGCAAGTCCGGTAATTCTGCAAAGAGCAGCGTACTTGATAACACCAGTCAGCTCATCTTGGCCACAGCAATTTTCCTCAATGTATTTACAATAAGATGAAATATGATATCAAACACCACTGCCTCTTTTCAGTTTCATTTAAACGTATTAATAGTCGCAGAAATGTAGTTCAGGGAACGTACATACATTACAATGAAACAAACAGTATTGCCTCTTTTAAATTTCATTTTAACATATTAATAGATTAATAGAATAATAGAATAAAGACCAAAGATTACCTGTTAGATTTACCCCAAACGAATTGCATCTTATGTTTAACCACTACAGAGACATCAGAGCCACCGGTAAATGTCAGAAGGACTAGCCGAGCTTTCTAGTAATCATAAAGGCATTAGCCGCTTTTCCACCGAAATTACCTGGAACAATTTGGCCCAGGAACTTTTTTCCCCCCAGACCTGTTGCTGTCTGCTTTTCCATCGCAGTCCAAAGTATCGAGAAGATTAGTCAAATTGTCTGGTGACGTAGGTCTGTGCGTGTTTCTCAATACAAAGTATGCAAATGTCGGACTTGAATCCTCGGTAGTTCGGACTTCACAAGTTCGAGTCGGGAGTGTGAACTCCCGCAGACGGGACGACGCAAGTCCGGTAATTCTGCAAAGAGCAGCGTACTTGATAACACCAGTCAGCTCATCTTGGCCACAGCAATTTTCCTCAATGTATTTTTTTTTTACCTCCCGTTCTAGGATAGACCCCTCCAGCTCCTGGCACAATCCCAGCACCACCAGGAACTACTCCTGCACCTGGAACAAAGCAGGACCATGAGCTCTCAGTTTGACATATCTAATGCCATGTCTCAGGGTTCTTCAATCCTGCTTCTGGAGGACCACTGTCCTGTAGACTTTAGTTCCAATCCTGTCTTACTTTTCTAGTAATCATAAAGGCATTAGCCGCTTTTCCACTGAAATTACCTGGAACAATTTGGCCCAGGAACTTTTTTCCCCCCAGACCTGTTGCTGTCTGCTTTTCCATCGCAGTCCAAAGTATCGAGAAGATTAGGCAAATTGTCTGGTGACGTAGGTCTGTGCGTGTTTCTCAATACGAAGTACGCAAATTTCAGACTTGCGTCTTCGGTAGTTCGGACTTCACAAGTTCGAGTCGGGAGTGTGAACTCTCGCAGATGGGACGACGCAAGTCCGGTAATTCTGCAAAGAGCATATGTTTCATTTAAACATATGATGTTGTATTAACAAGGTTCGGGAGGAGCACGATTAGATAATCAAATTAGATAGTCTGGCCCAGGTGGAGCTCGTCAGCTAATCACCTTAACAAGCACATACATATATATATATATATATATATATATATATATATATATACAGCCAACTTACCACAGTTCCACAAAAGTTTTCCAGCATTCGGTTTTGCTCCTTTAGCCATTATATCACAGACTCAACTTTTTCTGCACTACGATGAGACCTGTACTGGGGATCTTTCATATCCTCCGTCGCAATCTGCCGGCCCTAGGCACACTCCTTTTCCGCCAGTTACCGCTGCCGAACACCAGGCTTCATCGCTGTTGCCGCTCTACTCGACCAGCCACACGCTCTCCACAACACCGAGGCTTAACCTCACCTCCACCGGCGAGACTTCCAACTTCCCCGACCTCTTCGCATCATTCGGCCATGCCAATATATTCTCCGATCGGAAAGTGGATAGTATTTAAGGCTGAAGCAACCGCTGATTTATTTCTGATGAACCATTCTCACAGAGGGTAACCGAGGCTGATCTGTACGATCTATTTTTCACCCTGCAAATTAGCCAAGATAGATCGAAATTAACCAATAGATCGAGCAAAGCCTCGAACTCGCCTCACTTGACACTACCATTGTACCGCACAAAACCTGGCCCTCCCTGAGCTTTGGGTCGCAGCGGCAGGCCTTAAACGAGTCTGGGCCGCGCCCCAGTTCTCACCGCAGCAAAACGTAATTTGCTTCCCGCTTCGGCTCAACTTTTCAGTCACATGTAGCCGGGCCTCCAGCTCACGTAGCAGTCGCTAGCGCAAGACTGCCTCCGCTAGCACCGCAGGCCTTGTTGCAATAAAATTTTTAGGTAAAGTCGCTAAAGGTAGGTCATTTGTTTTTAAACGACGTGATGACATTATGGATGTTGATGTCATTTTTGTAACCAAGACGTAAAACTGCGTAGAACACACAATGAAATTACTCAAATTTTCTGTATTAGTTTTCACTAGCTTTTTACCTATATTTTAAATTACACATTGTACTCAGATAGACAGATAAGATGAAAAATATTTGATTTTCTTGAATATAAGTTAAACAGCGTTCAATTATAGGTGCAAACTAACAATTAAGGTGTATCATAAAGAAACAATAATAATAATTATTATTATTATTGAACAAGTACAACTAGCAACCTAATTAGCATGCATTGTGCATACTGCTAGGCACCTCTCTCCAAGTCTCTACCAGCTGATGTGCTGCTTGGCTGGCTAGCTGTTTCAATACTTACTACTTATGTGGTTAAGAGGAAAAGCATGTTTTTTCGTCATTTTATGATGTTGTTAAAGTCGTAATTTCTCCTGCTACTTCTAACCTCTCTTCCTTTTCAGTGGTCTCCAGCTCCCGTAGCACACTAGCGTGAGGCTGCCTCTGCTAGCTGTGCAGGCTGCACAGGCTCTACAGGATGTCACAAACCCCACTCTCTTCCCGTGGCCTACAGCAGCTGAAGGAAGCGTGAGGCTGCCTCTGCTAGCTGTGCAGGCTGCACAGGCTCTACAGGATGTCACAAACCCCACTCTCTTCCCGTGGCCTACAGCAGCTGAAGGAAGCGTGAGGCTGCCTCTGCTAGCTGTGCAGGCTGCACAGGCTCTACAGGATGTCACAAACCCCACTCTCTTCCCGTGGCCTACAGCAGCTGAAGGAAGCGTGAGGCTGCCTCCACTTGTAATCCTTTTTCCTTTTCAGTGGCCTTCAGCTCCCATAGCACACACTAGCGTGAGGCTGCCTCTGCTAGCTGTGCAGGCTGCACAGGCTCTACAGGATGTCACAAACCCCACTCTCTTCCCGTGGCCTACAGCAGCTGAAGGAAGCGTGAGGCTGCCTCCACTTGCAACTCAGGCCCACACATCTCGGGCTTTTCCTCCCGTTTCTACTGACCCCTTTTTTCTTTTTAGTGGCCTCCAGCTCACATAGCAGACACTACCCCGGAAGCCGATTTAAACGTCAGGCTGCCTCTGCTGACAATTGCTTCCCATACACCTCTTCCTCATAGCTCCCTACTTCATTCAAAATTACGTTGTCTTCCAGATCAAGTTCCAGCTCCCCTCAAGCTTCAAGACGCAGCAGGCCGTCAGCAAGCCTGGGCCGCGCCCCAGACTCGGCTGCTCCTCACACTGTATTGCCTCACTCCTCTACTCAACCAATCACTGCGGCGCCTTCAGCTACAGCGCCGCACGCAACATTGCCCGCTGGCGTAGCTTCCCAAACTCCAATCCTTCCCCCTCCCTTCCTTCTACCTCCGGCGGCAGACGTTAGCGTGAGGCTGCCTCCACTAGCCATTCAAGCTCAGCCACCTTACTCTTACCCTTCCGCTACTCCTTTTTCCTATCAATGGCCAGCAGCCCCTGCTGCAGACGTCCAAGCAGGACATCATCAGCCAGCAACACAAGCTTACTGGCTTCCTCCCTCATTTCCTTCTACCTCTTCCTATGTGCTTCCCTAAACACCAGAGGCTAATCCGTGTGTGAGGCTGCCTCCGCAAAAGGTTGCGGCCCCTCCTTATCTTCCTTCTAACCCTTCTCTCCAATCTAAACCTCAGTTCACTTCATTCACAGCAGTCCCACTACCTACCCCACTGAATGCTGCAGATCAGGAACCACCCCCTGTGCCTAATACCATCAAGTCACAGATTCTCGCAGAAATTCAGAGCGCTGGCTCCGGAGGCGGACCCATCGCCAACCCCAGTACCTCACTATTTGCAACTCATAACGCATCCCTTAAAACCTCCTCAACGCGTCACTCGGTTTGATCCTCCATGCAGTTTCACCCAGAACCATCCAATCTTATCTAACTGCTTGGAGATGATTTAAAGCTTTCCACCTCTCGTACAACCTGCCATTTCCCGATTTCTCCCTCTCAATCACATCTTTCGTTTCCTACCTTAACACCTGTAAGAACCTCCAAGCCCGGTCAGTCAAAGGTTATCTAAGCGGCATCCATTATTTTTCTTTTTCACAAATTAATCTACGGTGCCCCCTCTCCTGAAATAAACAATTCTCAAACATCTCTTTTTATCAAAGGAATTCAGTGCTCTCATCATCCAAGTTCGGACGCTAGACAGCCGATAACTTTCGACATCCTTTCTAAATGTATCCACATTCTCCGCACAGGGTACCACTCACTCATGCCGCTCATAGACTCGACGCAATGTTCATACTGGCTTTTTGTGATTTCCTGAGATGCTTGGAATTCACAATAACTTCTATTCAACCCCAAACTCCATCCAACTGTCTCCGACCTTTCCGTGCTCGACAGCGAAACTATCTCCTATTTCATCAAACAAAGTAAATCAGATCAGGAAAAAGAGGTCACCACGTCTGAATTTTTTTAACCTCCCATCACCAATCCAACTGTATCAGGCCCTTTTTCTTGCCTACAATTCAGATGCTCTCAGTCTACATCCCGTCTTGACCCTCTTTTTGTCAATGACTGTAACCACCCCGTCACACGTTTTTGGTTTCAAAAACATCTATCCAAACGATGTTCAATAAACATCGTCCAACCAGTCATACCCGTAGAAAGATTTTCCAGCCACTCCTTCCGAATCGGGGCAGTAACTACAGCAGCTCAAAAAGGCCTCTCATAGCAGCAGATCCAAGCTCTCGGTCGATGGTCATTGGATGCCTTCAAGAGCTATATCAGGACCAACAATTTTCACACAAAGAAAGCCCATCTAATTCTGATCAGTTAAATGAAATTTGATGCTGCCGCTGCAATGCCCTGCTTAATTTGATACTACCGCCGCAGTGCCCGCTTCATTCGATACTGCCGCTGCAGTGCCCTGCTTAATTTGATACTGCCGCCGCAGTGCCCGCTTCATTCAATACTGCCGCTGCAGTGCCCTGCTTAATTATCGTCCAACCAGTCATACCCGTAGAAAGATTTTCCAGCCACTCCTTCCGAATCGGGGCAGTAACTACAGCAGCTCAAAAAGGCCTCTCACAGCAGCAGATTCAAGCTCTCGGTCGATGGTCATCGGACGCCTTCAAGAGCTATATCAGGACCAACAATTTTCACACAAAGAAAGCCCATCTAATTCTGATCAGTTAAATGAAATTTGATGCTGCCGCTGCAATGCCCTGCTTAATTTGATACTACCGCCGCAGTGCCCGCTTCATTCGATACTGCCGCTGCAGTGCCCTGCTTAATTTGATACTGCCGCCGCAGTGCCCGCTTCATTCAATACTGCCGCTGCAGTGCCCTGCTTAATTAGATACCGCCGCTGCAGTGCCTGGCTTAATTTGATACGGCCGCTGTAGTGCCCAGCTCATTTGATACTGCCGTCGCAGTGCCCTGCTCATTTGATACTGCCTCTGCAGTGCCCTGCTCATTTGATACCGCTGCTGCAATGCCACGCTTAATTTGCTACCGCTGCCGCAGTGCCCTGCTCATTTGATACTGCCGCCGCAGTGCTCTGCTCATTGGATACAGCCGCCGCAATGCCATGCTTAATTTGATACCGCTGCCCCAATGCCATGCTTAATTTGATACCACTGCTGCAATGCCACGCTTAGTTTGATATTTTGAACTCTCTCTGGACAGCACGCCAAATATGCTACTATTTGCTTAATCACATTAAAGTGACGTGACGTGGCCAAGTATGGTGACCCATACTTGGAATTAGTGCTCTGCATTTAACCCATCTAAAGTGCACACACACACACCGTGAACACACACCCGGAGCAGTGGGCAGACATTTATGCTGGGGCGCCCGGGGAGCAGTTGGGGGTTCGGTGCCTTGCTCAAGGGCACCTCAGTCGTGGTATTGAAGGAGAGAGCGCTGTACATTCACTCGCCCCACCTACAATCCCTGCCGGTACGAGACTCGAACCCGCAACCTTTGGGTTACAAGGCCAACTCTCTAAACATTAGGCCACAACTTTCCCCCATTATATATAACTCGTGAAATTAATAGCCACAGAAATGTAGTTCAGGGAGCATACATACATTACAATGAAACAAAATATATCAAACAGTATTGCCTCTTTTAATTTTAATTTTAACATATTAATAGAATAATAGCATAAAGACCAAAGATTACCTGTTAGATTTACCCAAAACGAATTACATCTTATGTTTAACCACTACAGAGACATGAGAGCCAGCGACAAATGTCAGAAGGACTAGCCGAGTTGAGGCTGCTCTCGTCGGGAAACATGAGCACTGAGTGCCCGCTGATCGCCTGGAGCTCACGTCTCTGAAATCAGCTAAGCACATTTTCAAATAGGTGCTGTGTTTATAAATAAACCCCAAATTTCAGTTTTAAACAACTACATTCTCACCTGAAATACATTTAAACCTACATTTCATGACAAAATAACAGTAATATTTGTAAAAATACTGGTGGTTGAAATACAATGCTGCATGAACTCAACCAATCAGCATGCTCAGCGCCCGCCCCCAAAAGTTCCGGATTTTTTTAAAAAAGTACTACTTCGCGAGCAGGGACTTTCTGAGGGGCAAATTTTTACCCGGAACTTTATTTAGATCTTGGTTCCTGCGATGGAAACAAACCAAGTACTGACCCAAAGTCCCTAGTTCCATGGGGAAAGTTCCTGCGGTGGAAACGGGGCTATTGATTGGCTTTTTTGGGTGTTTGATTTGGGTTGAAGCTACAGTACTTGGGTTGAAACTCTGCAGGACAGGGGTTCTCCAGGAGCAGAATCGAAGAACCATGCTATATCTGAATAAGAAGGATCCTAAATATGGGTATATGATTACCGTATTTAGCTGCTTTTGCTTGGGCAGGAGTAAGACCTTAGAAAGAAAGAAATGGTTTTGCGACTCTATGATGACCATAATAATGTTTTAATAATCTTCAAGATATTTTGTACAGACAGATTTTTTTTTACCTCCCGTTCCAGGGTAGACCCCTCCAGCTCCTGGCACAATCCCAGCACCACCAGGACCAATCCCAGCACCACCAGGAACTACTCCTGCACCTTGAACAAAGCAGGACCACGATCTCTCAGTTTGACATTTCTAATGCCATATCTCAGGGTTCTTCAATCCTGCTTCTGGATGACCACTGTCCTGTAGACTTTAGTTCCAACCCTGCCTGTACTTTTCTAGTAATCATAAAGGCATTAGCCGCTTTTCCACCGAAATTACCTGGACCAATTTGTCCCATGAACTTTTTTCCCTCAGACCTGTTTCTGTCTGCTTTTCCATCGCGGTCCAAAGTTTCGAGAAGATTAGGCAAATTGTCTGGTGACGTAGGTCTGTGCGCATTCCTCAATAAAAAGTATGCAAATTTCGGACTTGCATCCTCGGTAGTTCGGACTTCGCAAGTTCGAGTCGGGAGCGTGAACTCCCGCAGATGGGACAACGCAAGTCCAGTAATTCTGCAAAGAGCAGCGTACTTGATAACACCAGTCAGCTCATCTTGGCCACAGCAATTTTCCTCAATGTATTTACAATAAGATGAAATATGATATCAAACACCACTGCCTCTTTTCGGTTTCATTTAAACATATTAATAGCCGCAGAAATGTAGTTCAGGGAACGTACATAGATTACAATGAAACAAACAGTATTGCCTCTTTTAATTTTCATTTTAACATATTAATAGATTAACAGAATAATAGAATAAAGACCAAAGATTAGTTGTTAGATTTACCCCAAACGAATTACATCTTATGTTTAACCACTACAGAGACATCAGAGCCACTGGCAAATGTCAGATAGACTAGCCGAGTTCAGGCTGCTCTCGTTGGGAAACATGAGCACTGAGCGCCCGCTGATCGAACTGGAGCTCACGTCTCTGAAATCAGCAAAGCACATTTTCAAATAGGCGCTATCTTTATAAATTAACTGCAGATTTGAGTTTTCAACAACTACATTCTCACCTGAAATACTTTTAAAACTACATTTCATGACACAATAACAGTAATATTAAATAAAAATTATGCGAATATGCTGGATGAAATACAATGCTGCTTGAACTCAACCAATCAGCATGCTCAGCGCCCAAGTCCCGCCCCCGAAAGTTCCAGACTTTTTTAAAAAAGTACTTCCTCGCGAGCAGGGACTTTCTGAGTGGCAAATTTTTACCCGGAACTTTATTTAGATCCTGATTCCTGTGGTGGAAACAAACCGAGTACTGACCCAAAGTCCCTAGTTCCTGGGGAAAGTTCCTGCGGTGGAAACGGGGCTATTGATTGGCTTTTTTGGGTGTTTGATTTGGGTTGAAGCTACAGTAATTGGGTTGAAACTCTGCAGGAAAGTGGTCCTCCAGGAGCAGAATCGAAGAACCGTGCTATATCTGAATAAGAAGGATCCTAAATATGGGTACATGATTACCATATTTAGCCGCTTTTGCTTGGGCAGGAGTAAGACCTTAGAAAGAAATAAATGGTTTTGCGACTCTATAATGACCATTATAATGTTTTAATATTCTTCAAGATATTTCGTACAAACAGACAGATTTTTTTTTTTTTACCTCCCGTTCCAGGATAGACCCCTCCAGCTCCTGGCACAATCCCAGCACCACCAGGACCAATCCCAGCCGCACCAGGAACTACTCCTGCACCTGGAACAAAGCAGGACCACGATGTCTCAGTTTGACATTTTTACGCCATATCTCAGGGTTCTTAAATCCTGCTTCTGGAGGACCACTGTCCTGTAGACTTTAGTTCCAATCCTGCCTGTACTTTTCTAGCAATCATAAAGGCTTTAGCCGCTATCCACCAAAATTACCTGGAACAATTTGTCCCAGAAACTTTTTTTCCCCCAGACCTGTTGATGTCTGCGTTTCCATCACGGTCCAAAGTATTGAGAAGATTAGGCAAATTGTCTGGTGATGTAGGTCTTTGCTTTCTCAATACAAAGTACGCAAATTTCGGACTTGCGTCCTCGGTAGTTCGGACTTCACAAGTTCGACTTGGGAGTGTGAACTCCCGCAGACGGGACGACGCAAGTCCAGTAATTCTGCAAAGAGCAGCATACTTGATAACATCAGTCAGCTCATCTTGGCTACAGCAATTTTCCTCAATTTATTTACGACAAGATGAAATATGATATCAAACACCACTGCCTCTTTTCGGTTTCATTTAAATATATTAATAGCCGTAGAAATGTAGTTCAGGGAACCTACATACATTACAATGAAACAAAATATATCAAACAGTATTGGCACTTTTAATTTTCATTTTAACATATGAATAGATTAATAGAATAATAGAATGCAGACCAAAGATTACCTGTTAGATTTACCCAAAACGAATTACATCTTATTTTTTACCACTACAGAGACATCAGAGCCAGCGGCAAATGTCAGATTGACTAGCCGAGTTGAGGCTCCTCTCGTCGGGAAACATGAGCACTGAGCGCCCGCTGATCGCCTGGAGCTCACGTCTCTGAAATCAGCGAAGCACATTTTCAAATAGGCCCTGTCTTTATAAATAAACCCCAGATTTGAGTTTTAAACAACTAGATTTACCCCTGAAATACTTTAAAAACTAAATTTCATGACACAATAACAGTAATATTTTAAAAAATTATGCGAATATGGTGGTTGAAATACAATGCTGCGTGAACTCAACCAATCAGCATGCTCAGCGCCCCCGAACGTTCCAGACTTTTTAAAGAAAGTACTACCTCGCGAGCAGGGACTTTCTGAGGGGCAAATTTTTACCCCAAACTTTATTTAGATCCTGGTTCCTGCAGTGGAAATACACTGAGTACCACCCCAAAGTCCCTAGTTCCCTGGGGAAAGTTCCTGCCGTGGACACGGGGCTATTGATTGGCTTTTTTGGGTGTTTGATTTGGGTTGAAGCTACAGTACCTTGGGTTGAAACTCTGCAGGACAGTTATTGATATTGTTTGTGTGGCCGAGCGGCTCGTGCGCTGCCGAGGCAATGCATGCATTACACCATATTCGGTTTTGATATGAGTCTTATCACACCAGACCGTGTTTACTTGTCTGGTTGTTTGGCTGCATTTTATTCTGAGGAATAAGTATTTCTTCGGACTATGAGAAGTTATATACAGGATCTCTTGGAAAATAAATTAAAAAAATGTTCTCGAGTGAGAGCACGCGTTTACCTCTCTTCCTCCGAGGAGGTTGAGGTGGTCAACATGGGCTGCTGGGGGGGAGCAGCCGCAACCCACTGTGTTCCAGCTCCTCATGTAAGGAGCGACACTTCTCATACTCCTCAGAATTTAGAGTCAGAGTGACGCTCCCAGGCCGAAGGCTTCTAGTGGAAGGCGGATCTGCGGACCGTCATTCTCGCTGGATAGTCTTCAACTAAAACATCCTGATGCCTAGGGCCCAAGACTTCTGAGGGCCGGCCCCCACTCTCAATACAAAGTAGAAAAGGGGAAGATCGGGGACACCTCATTATACGGTGCCCGTCTCTCCTCAGTTCCCTCAGGAGATCGATCTGCCAACCCTGCCATCTAAGGTACTTCAGGGCGCAGCAGTCTCCGTCAAGCGCTTCTCTCAGTCACCGCCTGGATAATGTAGCGGTACTAAGAGGCAGCTAGTTCGGCCGTTCCCTGCCGGTCCGCTGCTTCAGGGCACCGACCTAGCTGCTTTAAGTGCACCAGAGGCCAGTCTTGAGAGACTGGTTCCCTTAGTAGGTCAGCTGGCGGTGTGGGAGCCCCTGCCAAGCATGTCTCATTGGGTCCTGCCCCGAGCAGGGTCTGGTTCTATCAGTCTAGTCTTCCTAGGAGATGACGCGGGTCTGAGGACCGTCGTTTTCAATAGGAGACTTCAGCTAAGAGAGTGCTGATGCCATGGCTCAAGACTTCGGAGGGCAGGCCCCTCTGGGGAAGAACGGTGTACACCTCATTATACGGTGCCCGTCTCTCCTCAGTACCCTCAGGAGATCGTTTTGCCAACCCTGCCACCTACGGTGCTGCAGGGCGCAGCGGTATCCAGCGAGCGCTTCTCTCAGTCACTGCCTGGAAACGTAGCGGAAATAAGAGGCTTGATACCTCTTCTGAGGTTTCTAGAGCAGCTAGTTCGGCCGTACCCTGCCAGTTCGCCACTTCAGGGCACCGACCTAGCCGCTTTGATTACACCAGAGGTCAGTCTCGAGAGACTGATTCCCTTGGTAGACCTTTTTGGTAGCGTCGAAACTTCTGCAAAATGTGTCTCAATGGATCCTGCACATTGTAGAAAGAAGCTACTGAATCAGTTCAGTTCTCCTCCGCCTCGTTTCAATGGGGTCATTCCCACTCTGGTGGGCCCCGAGCAGGCTCTGGTAATGGAATAAGAAGTTAACTCTCTCTTGAGGAAGGAGGCCATCGAGGTGGTCCCTCCTCTCAACAGACAGTCTGGGTTCTACAGCCGGTACTTCATCGTTCCAAAGAAGGGTGGCAGTTCCTGAGGTTTGCTTTTGGGGGCAAAAGCTTACCGGATTCTTCCGTTCGGCCTTGCACTCTCACCCCACACTTTCATGAAGTGTGTGGACGCTGCTCTGGCTCTTCTGTCACTCCAGGGCATCCACATACTCAACCACATTGACGATTGGTTGATACTAGCTCAATCGGAGCAGATAGCAGTTTGGCATCGAGATGTCAGTGACAGTCACGTCTCTCACCGGTTGGGTGAGGTTAGCCCGCGGTCTGTGGAGTGGTCGCCATCTCATGGAGCACATCAACTGCCTGGAGATGCTGGCCATGTTTCTAGCACTGAAACACTTCTTCCCGGACCTACGAGATCGCCATGAGTTGGTGCGCACTGGCAACACAGCGGTGGTCTCTTATATCAACCACCAGGGAGGTCTGCGTTCACGCCCCCTTTACAGGCTGGCGCACCAGATCCTTGTGTGGTCTCAGGGCAAACTCCTCTTGCTGAGAGTAGTTCACATTCACATCTCAATATGAGAGCAGAAATCCTGTCGAGGCAGGGGCCGAGGCCCAGGGAATGGAGACTTCACCCCGAGGCAGTGAAGCAGATATGGAGAGTTTTTGTACGATCTTTTACCCCCGCCCGGAGCTGTGGAAGCCGTGGGTGTGGCCTCTGAGGGTGCACAACTTGTAGCTTCCGGTCTCTCAACCGAGGTTGTTGAGACCATTCTCCAATCCAGAGCTCCCTCTACAAGGAAACTGTATGCCCTGAAGTGGAAGTTTTCACTGCCCAGTTGGTACAGTGCTGGAGTTCCTGCAGGCCCGATTCTCTGCAGGGTTGACCCAATCCACCTTGAAAATCTACGTGGCGGCCGTTGCGGCCTACCACACCCCTATCGGTGGCCAGTCAGTGGGCAGACACCCCCTAGTTACATGTTTCCTCCATGGTGCACTGAGGCTGAGGCCTCTGGCCAGAGAAGCTTATGCTAAACGGTGGATCAGGATGATTTGGAGGTCAAGGCTCACTCCTTCTGAAGTTGGCCTTTGGGCGGGATGTCCCCGTCTACTTTGTCAGGTGCCTACCTGCATTCACCTGCCACTTCTGGCTCCTTTCTCTCGCCTTAGATGTGCTCGTCCATATTAGGCAGGGATTTGTAAGTCTGGCTGTGTGGGCATACTCGTTCCCAAAGCGTTTTCAGACGCAGCTCAAGTTCCTGAGGGGGAACGTCTCCAGGTTACGAATGTAACCATGGTTCCCCCGAGGGAACGAGACGCTGCGTCTCAGTGCCATACTTCAGGCATTCCTGTGAGCGCTTGCTTCATTCATAGAAGCTGACGCCGGTTCCACCGCACGTGCTTTTATAGCTTCCTGCTCTCTAAGTCACCCGCCTGTGATGTCTCGCCCTTCCATTGGACTGATTTTACATGTGATTCAGAGCATGGTCACGCTGAAGGCGTTCTCAAAGCGTTTTCCGACGCAGCGTCTCATTCACTCAGGGAACCATGGTTACATTCGTAACCTGGAGACGTTTTTCAAACTGATTGATCCCAAGGACCCGCAAATATAATAATTCCCTTCAGGTCTAGTTTTACGGAGGTGCTAAAGATGAAGCTGTAATACTAACATTGGCAAAACAGATCTGGCAAACTACCCAGTGCGTATTTGTGTACTAGAGTGCGTTAAAGATTTCCATTGGCAACGGGTTTTACTGCGTTTAGAGTTTAATCTAGTTCATCCAGCGCTATTTGTTTTGTGTTCTTAAGTATCTCGATACTGTTTGTTTTACTGACAAAGGAACACTTCATTTGATTCATATGACACAAAATAATGATTAATCCATTATTAGTGGCATGGCTAGTTCACTTGACAGAAATACGGGACACACATCATAATTGCTGAAATATTTGCAGGGCAGACGGACAGGTCAGGTCAGCCGAAGCACTCATGGTACGCACAGTGCGTACAGCCATACACCTGCAGGCACCACTGTCTCAGGGTTCTTCAATCCTGCTTCTGGAGGACTACTGACCTGCAGAGTTTAGTTCCAACCCTGGTTATACTTTTCTAGCAATCATAAAGGTATTGATTGACTTTTTTGGGGTGTTTGATTTGGGTTGAAACTACAGTACTTGGGTTGAAACTCTGCAGGACAGTGGTCCTCCAGGAGGAGAATTGAAGAACCATGCTATATCTGAATAAGAAGGATCCTAAATATGGGTACACGATTACCGTATTTAGCAGCTTTTGCCTGAGCAAGGGAGAGCGCACCAGGACCTTGACACATGGGAAAACACAAAAGATTTATCAGTGTTGGATCATTCTAATAAAGTGACACTACTGTTTAACACTACTGCACACAGTTGTATCTCACCCCCTGCCCCAGGAAAGACTCCACCTGTGCCTGGTACACCACCAATACCAGTAACTCCAGGACCAGCACCTAGTCAAACCACATACAAAAACACATTTACAAGCCAAAAAAATGTGCCATCAGCTTTGCTTTCTTTGAGATTATTGGTTGACTGTGTAATACAGTATAAAAGCCTCAATTGCCCATCAATCAATTATGAGCCCCATAATAAAGCAAGGTAATCAGTCAATGCACTCACCATATTTCGCTGCTTTAGCTTGAGCTGGTGTAAAAACACCCACACCTGCTCAGAGAGAACAATTACAAATTTTGCTTCAAATTTAGGAAAAAGAAAATATGTCATGGTATTGAATTACACATCTCATGCCCCATGTGCATTGACCTCAAACCTATCACAAGGTGTCTTGACATGCAATATTTGAAAGTACAAAAAAGTACAAGTACTTTGGAATAAATTGGAGTAAATGATTTATTTTAAAAGCACAGTGGCTGATTGCAGCTATTAAACCATTGTTTTTTAGCAAAATGATAATTCACCTCCTGCCCCTGGATAAAGTCCACCAGCACCACCTGCTCCAACACCACCTAAACCAGCTCCAACACCCAAGAAAATATGTAAACACTAAACTAGCTGCTTGAGTAAATGACTTGCATTTCAATATGGACTATTTCTTTAATATAAAAATGTTGATTGTGGTTTTAGGGGATTGCAAAGGAAAATGTATCCTTACCTCCTGCACCAGGGTAAAGTCCACCAGCCCCACCAAAACCAGCTCCAGTACCTGAAGAATAAACAAACAATGAACTGTTAATATTAGCTCTTGGAAAAGAACACAATTATGCACAAATAACTGAAGCGCCATCTAAATTTCTTGTCACGGTTCATGGCGGTCGGCGTGCTCATTCCTGTGTCTGTGTGTGTTGCGTCTGGTAACCCCACCTCCTAATCAGGGTTCACCTGAAGCCTATCTGGGCTGCCTTTATCTGGCTTGCTGTTTCACGGTCCTTTGTCAGTTCGTCACGGGTCACGCCGTTCAAGCATTGGTGTCACAGGTTTCCGAATTAACCTCCCAGTTTCAGCGTTTTAAGATGGAGCCTACTCAACAGCCCACTACGCCCAATCCACCTGCTGTTACAGGGTCATCTCGCACTCGGTTGCCGCCTCCTATTGTCTACTCTGGTGAGCCTCAATTATGCCGTGCCTTTTTGACGAAATGCTCTTTGTACTTTTCTCTTCGTGCCTTCTTCATTTCCCACGGAAGAATCTAAAATAGCGTTCGGTATCACATTACTTTCTGGACGGGCCGCCCTCTGGGGCACTGCGGTTTGGGACAACAAGCACCAGTGTGTTTCCTCGTTCCTGGCCTTCTCGAGTGAATTAAAGAAAGTCTTCGATAGAGCAGCATCTGGGAGAGGGGTGGCACGGATTTTGGAGTTACGTCAGGCTCACCGGACAGTTACAGATTATTCTATTGAGTTCCGCACCTTGGCAACGGAATTCAGCTGGAACGCCGAGGCGCAGTGGGACATGTTTTTACACGGACTGGTGCTCCATATTCAAGACTAAATCTATGCTCTGGATTTACCCACCTCTTTGGATGGGCTTAATGACTTGGCTATCCGGGTGGATGCCAGGTTATGGCGGAGAGATCAGTACCAACCTTTTCACTCTGCTACGAATCGTCTGGACCGACCTACATACAACCCCTGTGAGGTGCTTGACGAAACATCGGATCCGGAGCCCATGCAAATGGGTCGGCCCTGTCTTTCTCCGGGAGAGAGGGAGAGACGCCAAAGCCGTGGATTATATTTGTACTGCGTGGAGGCTGGTCATATGATTGCTCAGTGTCCAGTAAAAGCCAGAGCCCGCTGGTAAATAGAAGGTTACTGGCGGGCGGGTTCACTATGGAAAAGATCTCCCGCGCTGTCACCCATCTCCCGATCAAGATGCAGTGGGACTTGGACTTATACAGCTGTCAAGCCCTCATTGACTCGGGAGCCGAGGGTAACTTTTTGGATTTTAGTCTAGCCCGTAAGCTTCAGATTCCTGTCTTTATCCTTAAGGATCCAATTTCTGTTGTTGCTCTCAGCGGTCAGTCATTGTGTTCTGTTACCCACACTACAGGCGTGATAAGACTGATCACCTCGGGCAATCACACAGAAAATATTCAATTTTTCCTGACTAATTTTCTTTCTGTTTCTGTAGTTCTCGGTCATCCCTGGCTGACGTTACACAACCCCCACATTAACTGGGGTCATGATTATGTTCTGGCCTGGAGTAATAAGTGTCATGCTTCTTGTATTTTGTCTGCCTGTTCTTCTGTGTCTTGTTCTGTTCTGTTCTGTGTTTCAGGATGAGCATGTGGACCTGTCTAACATGCCCGTGAGTACCTCGACCTGAAGGGAGTGTTTAGTAAGTCTCGAGCTGCTTCTCGTCCTCCGCATCGTCCCTATGACTGTGCTATAGACTTTTTGCCAGGTACGTCTCCACCTAAAGGCAGATTATACTTGCTTGCCGCTCCGGAAAGGGAGGCCATGCAGAAATATATTTCTGATTCTCTAGCTGCCAAGATCATCCACCCCTCTTCTTCCCCGGCGGATGAGGGGTTCTTTTTCATGGAAAAGAAGGACGGTTCCCTGCGTCCTTGCATTGACTATCAGGGGCTGAACAGCATCACGGTAAAGAATACCTATCCTTTGCTGTTGATGTCTTCAGCCTTCGAGCGTCTGCAAGGGGCATCATTTTTCACGAAATTGAATCTCCGTAATGCCTTAATCATTTGGTCCGCATGAGAGAGGGGGATGAATGGAAGACCGCGTTTAATACCCCCAGGGGGCACTTTGAATATCTTGTTCTTCCATTCAGTCTTTCGAACGCTCCTGCGGTCTTCCAGGCACTCGTTAATGACGTGTTTAGAGATATGCTCGATCAGTTCATTTATGTCTACCTGGATGACATATTGATTTTTTTCTCACTCTCTCCAGGAACACGTTCAACACGTTAGGTGAGTGCTTCAGAGGCTGTTAGAGAATGGGCTTTTTGTCAAGGCGGAGAAATGCGTTTTCCATGCACAGTCAGTCCCCTTTTTGGGGTACATTGTGTCGGCCGAGGGAGTGTGCATGGACCCCAAAAAAGTTAAGGCTGTGGTGGATTGGCCAATCCCAGATTCTCGTAAGGCCCTGCAGAGGTTTCTGGGCTTTGCCAATTTTTACAAGCATTTTATTCGCAATTTCAGCTAGCTAGCTTTTCCTCTGACTGCCTTGACCTCCACCAAGACTGCTTTCAGGTGGTCTAACGCGGCGGATGTCGCATTTACCAAACTAAAGGGCTGCTTTGTTTCAGCCTCAATTCTCATCGCCCCTGACCCGTCACGGCAGTTTGTGGTGGAGGTTGACGCTTCAGAGGATGGAGTTGGTGCGGTCTTGTCCCAGCGCTCTTCCTCGGATGACAAAATGCATCCTTGCGCGTTTTTTCTCATCGATTATCTCCTGCCGAACGCAACTACGATATTGGTAATAGAGAGCTGCTGGCGGTCAAACTCGCCTTGGAAGAGTGGCGTCATTGGTTGGAGGGTTCAGGGGTTCCTTTCATCGTCTGGACCGACCATAAGAATTTGGAATACATCAAATCCGCCAAAAGGTTAAACTCTAGGCAGGCTCGGTGGGCTTTATTTTTCGGTCATTTAGATTTTTCTATTTCTTACCGTCCGGGATCTAAGAATATCAAGCCCGATGCGTTATCCCGTAATTTTGACCTTTCCGACAGCCCGTCTTCTCCCAAGCCTATTTTGCCACAGAAAGTCGTAATCTCTGTGTTGTCTTGGGAGATCGAATCGAAGGTCCGCACGGCCTCTGAAGGGGTAATGCCCCCGCCCGGATGCCCACCGGGTCGTTTGTTTGTACCTGAGAGTTTACAGTCTGACGTCATTCGATGGGGTAATTCTTCCAATTTTGGCTTGTCATCCGGGGGTGACTCGTTCTACGTTTCTTATAAAGCAGCGATTCTGGTGGCCTTCTATGGCTCGTGACATACAACTTATTGTTTTGGCTTGCTCTGTCTGTGCCATTTCTAAGACTTCCAATCTACCCTCTGCGGGACTCCTCCAGCCGCTGCTGGTTCCTTCGAGACCCTGGTCCCACATTTTGCTAGATTTTGTTACTGGGCTTCCGCCCTCTCAGGGCAACACGGTGGTTTTGACCGTGGTGGACCGGTTCTCGAAGGCAACTCATTTAATCCCTCTGCCCAAACTGCCATCTGCCAGAGAAACAGCAGTTGCTGTCATTGACCACGTTTTTCGTATTCATGGCCTCCCAATGGATGTGGTCTCTGACAGGGGGCCCCAGTTTATTTCCAAATTTTGGAAGGAATTTTGTCATTTATTAGGGGTGACTGTTAGTCTTTCTTACGGATTCCATCCCTAGAGTAATGGTCAGATGGAGAGAGCCAACCAAGATTTAGAACACCTGTTACGATGTTTGGTTTCACAGAATCCATCCTCCTGGAGTCAGCAGCTCTCATGGGTTGAGTACGCACACAACTCTTTACCGGTATCGGGTACAGGCCTGTCTCTGTTTGAGTGTAGCTTAGGATACCAGCCACCTGTTTTTCCCAGTATGGAATCCGAAGTCGCGGTTCCCTCTGCTCAAGCTTTTGTCCAGAGGTGCTGTCGCACCTGGAGCAGAGCTAGACAGACTCTCCTCCAGGTGGGAGCGCGCACCAAGATTCAGGCCGATCGCCACCGGTTGAAGCCTCCCATCTACATCGTTGGTCAAAAAGTGTGGCTTTCATCAAAGAACATTTCCCTCCGGACCATTTGTAATAAACTTGCTCCCAAATTTATCGGCCCATTTACTGTCACCAAAATCATTAGTCCGATGGCAGTCCGCCTTAAACGTCCTCCAGCATACGGGAGAGTTCATCCCGTATTTCATGTTTCTAAATTAAAGCCCATTTTTCATTCTACGATTAATCCGCCTGTCCCGGTTCCCCCACCACTGCGTCTCGTAGATGGGGAACCTACCTATTTGGTAAAACGTATTCTGGACTCGAGAAGGAGGGGATGAGGATTTCATTATTTGGTGGACTGGGAGGGTTACGGGCCAGAGGAGAAGAGTTGGGTGCCTGTGAGAGATATATTAGATCACTCCCTTATCGATGATTACAATCGCCAGATGGGTTACTGTCAAGGTTCGTGGGTCGGTGTGCTCATTCCTGTGTGTGTGTTGCGTCTGGCAACCCCGCCTCCTCATCAGGGTTCACCTGAAGCCTATCTGGGTTGCCTTTATCTGGCTCGCTGTTTCACGGTCCTTTGTCCGTTCGTTGTCTCGCTCACCACTGTTTGTTCTCTCCTAGAATCCTAATTGTGTTCTTTGTGATCGTGCTCCGGTCCTACTTGGTCTTTTGTTTCCCATTGGCCTGACTCCTGCTCTCGGACTGGGTTTCTACGAGCTTGGCTGTCTCTCTCGGATTCGGGATCTCCTGCTTGTTTCCACATATTGTGAATTCACAATAAACTGTTTTCTTCACTCGCAGTTGTATCTGAGCCTTGATTACCTGACATTTCTTTGCTCTGTGGATAAAGCTTAGGACATGTGGCCTTTAAAATCATTTAATTAATTATTATTACCATATTTAGCAGCTTTGGCCTGTGCTGCAGAAACCCCTAAAGTCCCAACACCTGCATACAGAGACAGCAGATCAGCTACTGGTCATGCATTTGCAGTGCATGTGTGCGCGTGTGCCATTTGCAGCCACAGAAAATAACATAGACATTTTAGTAGCTCGCCTAGTGTGAATCTCACGAAGTCAAGACAATGTGTGGGTTTTATTTCACCACACAATCTGACTAAATAAATAAGAAACTATATTGTGCATTAACATTGGGGACATTTTGAATTGGGACATTATTTTTGAGACAATGAATTAAAAGATATATAGAGTATATCCCATTACATTAATGGTTTTGAGTTAAAATATGACATGTTCTTTACAGACTTTTAGATTCACCCTCTAGTGTATTATAGTTATTCAAATATGGTGGCTTTGACATAACACACCAGTCCCTGTTGGATAACCTGGCTTGGAGCCAGCTCCTCTTTTCCCACCAGGGAGTCCAGCACCTCCACCAAAACCACCATAACCTTTGGCATAGCAGGTGAGAATCATCACGCAAGCTCATACATTTCATGGACAAGGTATTCAGCACATGCATATAATGGAGATTGCCACTGCAGCCTACCGTATGGATGTTTACCACCAGTGTAGGGTAACCCAGCACCTGTTGAGACAAGTCATGATGTAAGACTTTCAATTATCAAGACTGTTAAGTATGCATGTAATTTTAGTTCAATTTAAATCTACTTTAATAAATATCCTCCTCTTTAAACGAGCATTTTGCTTGCCTCCCCCTCTATCTTATGTTTGTAAATGTAACACAGACATACTAAAGATATACCAAAAATACTGTGTGTCATCAAATGTGTTGTATACATAGCAAAGCTATCCACAACAGTAGAGCTAGGGAGAACTAACACCTGGTCAGTGTTTGGCCAAAGAGCACACAGATTAAATACTACAGATAAAACTGCAAAAAGTTCGATGATAAAGAAGAATCTAAATTATTTCCGTTGATGTATGAACTAACTTTGTGAAGCATTAAACCATTCAAGTGGACCACACATTTTTATCAACATTGTATCCTGTTTTTATCAGAACAAATGTGCAAGTTTGGAAAAGATATGTTCGACTAGATGCTCGCATATTAATACCGCAATCAATTTCTCCTAATTTCACTGGATGTATTCCTAGTCCATGATTAAGGTTGATAACTCAGCGATATGAGAGATGTGAAAATATGTATTTCATTTCAAGCTTCAAATGGAAAAATGTATGAAAATATTTTTAGTTGTGACTATGAAAACTATGACAATGAACTTTGTCAAGTAATTGAGCACTTCAACTGTTGAACCTCCATGTAAGAGAAATCACACAATGTTTCTGCGCACCGGAGAGCAATCTACTACATAAATGGATGACTAGCAATGTGAGTCTAAGCACTGATCCAGTATAGCTGGGTTTCATCTGAAGCGTTTGATGAAAGACATTCTTACTTTCTTATTTCTATCAACCTCAAATTGTATTGCTTAATAGCTGTAAAACCACAAATGTAATCAGTCGGCAAATGCTTCTTTTCAAGGCGTGGTAGAGCTGGGCTGAGCACGGTTTGTGAAGTCTGATCAAAAGAATCAAATGTTCCACCTGGGGCTTTGGGAGATTTGAGAGGGTATCCATGAAATACTCCTTGTTGCAGTGGTCCATATCCACGCCCACCTACAGCAAAAGAGCATTTGTTTGGATGTCAACAGACAACGTAAACTTTTTAAACACATAGGTGTTGTTCAGTTTTGCTTCCACACTATCCAGATATCATTATTAATATTTGGTTGCTGTATGCTCATGTACTAACCACCACCCGGTACCAGACCCTGCCCTCCACCAGCAGCTATGGGAAAAATTCAGTCAGTCATAAAGATATGGTATATAATTTATTTCACTGCAATGACTGATGTAATTTTCATTGAGACTTCACCTGATTTAGGTTTGAGTCCAGTTCCTGTGGCTACACCAGGAAGAACACCCCGCCCATTGAAGCCTGTAATCATTTAAATCCAAGTGATCAAGACCAAACAAAGGCCATGTGTGCAATTTTAATTTGGTGTTTTATCCAAATGACTGATCAGCAGGCCTGCTCTAAATCTGTGAGCACAGAAAACTCCACAGATGTTTGCAGAAATCATTTAAGTTCCACACATACCTTTGTTCATGAGATGTCTTGGCTAATTTGATAATGGCTGAAATATATTCTATGCACGTATGTGCAATATACATTTCATGCGTTATTGTTGTCTGTTTCTACGCCGGCATTGGTATCTTCTACATTGTGTTTCTTCCTTTACGTCAACTGCGTTTATGGAAGAGCAACACTCTGAGGTCAATCTTGCTGAGCAAGTCAAAGAAATTAAAGTTAAGTTAAACAGTACTCAGCTAGCTACCTGAATAATCCATTACACACTATGAAGGTAACTCTATCGCCCCTTTGAGTGTGCCAAGAATTTGTAAGTTTGCCTACTTGCATACAATATGTTTCTGGCCTAAGCGTGTAGCATCCTCAGCTCTGTTGAAAATATTTTGCCAAGTGTAGATCCATTTCACAGAATCTGGCATATGTTCCCCACAATCCGCATCATAAATGTGAAAAACGTTTGCAGATTCCTTGTGGGCCTTGTGGTCATATTATAGTATATAAACAGAGCGAAATAACAAACCTTGTCCAGGAACAAGTCCTCCGTGATATGGTCCAGGCACTCCCACTCCTGCAAGAAAAAAAACAGATTGAAAAGTAGATCTATAATCATGCTTATTTCCATTTATACATACAAATTCAAACCCCCACACTTACCCGGCACTGGAGCCTTTCCGGCCTTTGCTGCTTTACCCCCAGGTCCAACCCCACCAGGGCCCAGTCCTTGTACCCCGGTCTGAGGAATGACAAGGCCTAACAAAAAATTGAAAGATGAGACTATCTTACTATCACTGCTGGCTAATTAGGCAAATTTACTCATGCCAGTATTACTAAATATATACATTCACTGCACCTGGAAGACCAGTACCAGTTCCTCCTGCACCTGGCCCTGAATGGACACAAACACACATTCAGTCACATCACTAAACAAATGGGTGCAAATCTAGACTGCAGATATTCCATGTGCTTCCTCAGTGATTTAGTTTGCCTCACTTGCTCTATTCCTCTGACATGAAACAAATCGTTGTATCTGATTTCAGTGCCTGGAAGCTGATGCTTCAGGCTGTTCATTTATTTGTTTAACCCTTTTCCAACCATATCAAACACAGAAGAACAGACATTGCATACTGCTTTTAGATTTTGCCAAGGACACGCTGAAGTAATGTGCTGGCTTTCAGTACACAAACACCACCAGCAGGGTCCCAGAGGGGACACATTTGTTGATTTGGTTCATGATCTAAGGCTCCTTAATTCAACTTCAAGCCAACTGGAGTACCATGAAAAGAGTCATAGCCGCGTGAACATCAACAGAGGAAGTTATTTGGAAAAGGTGTTAAAAAGGGACCTGTATGTTTTCACTATATGAATGTTTCCTCTGTAAATGAGGTCAGCTCCCCACCTACTTTTTCCATTTCAATTCTTCTCAAAATATGTTTAATTTACAATGTGTTTGTAAACTGGAAACGATGGACTCTAAAAGATGTATATTACTTTTAGGGGGTTTTCCACCAGCACCTGAAGCAAGAGAATCAGACTTAGAAGAGAGCTGTGTAGTTTTTGTTACTTAGCCACTAAGAAAATCCAAATCATCAATAGATTTATTGAATGAACGGCACCTCCAGGAAGACCTCCTCCAGGTAGACCTCCTCCAGGAAGACCTCCTCCAGGTAGCCCAGTGCCTAAATGAAAGCCTAATGGTTATATGTAATTACTTGACTGCACTTTAACCACTGCTGACTATTCATTGGATGGTAAGCACCTGATTTAGCCGGTTTCAGACCTCCAGCCACTGGGTAAAATCTTCCAGCACCACCATATGTACCATAAGCCCCATAACCACCTACAGTAGAAGAGACATACAGCAACAAATTCAGGAAATCTGTATTAACATGGTTAACTTGATGATATTGAGGACTATGTATAATTTTCATTGGGATATTCTGGGTTCAGTACAACTCAATCAGCAGCATTTGTTGCTTTTCAACTCTTTGGTAACACTTTATTTTGAAAGCCCACTTTAGCATTCTACTAACTATTAGAAACTTTGCAACTACATGTCAAGTAGCAGTTATTAGAGTATTAGTAAACCATCTGCTTAATATCTGTTAACACTTGGTTTCAGTTGTCCACCAAAAATCAAACACCATTCTGCTGACTACATGTGACTTTGCAAGTATGTCAACCTTTTCTACTAATCCTAATGAAGAGTAGAGAGAAGACAATGACATTATAGGAAGCAGCATGGAGGCTAGCACAGATCTAGCAATTTAGCGAATGTTTGTGTGTATATATAGTGACTATTGTGACCATGAGTATGCCTCTCTATAGATCATGTGAATTCATAACTTTGGATAGTGGAATAACAAGTTAGGAGTGATATCTAATGGGAAGGATGTCACAAATGAATCATTATGAATTATGAAGATGATCTGCCCCCATCCCCAAATGGCTTGGACTGTAAATGCTATGGAGTGATTTAGCAATGAGACTGAGAAGGGCTGGATGGGACAGAATGAAGAAAGAGAGAGAGAAAGAGAGGGGAAAATAAATTTTTAGGGAGATGGAAAGGAAAGGCTCAGCGACTACAGTGGATCTTTTTGGCTAAGCAAATGAGGAGTTAGCTTGATTGAAAATCATTGCTACATTGTGTCCTCATTCAACACGGACACCCTAAATAAATGAGGTCACAAAGTTTGCATCCATATTTTATGGTAGAGGGAGGAATACAGGAATGGAAAGGATGTGGAGTAAAATGCTTTGCTTGTGAGTCTTTCTGTTGCCTTGTTGCCATTATAAATATGAGAGTTGCTTTAAAAGGCCTCTAAATCTGGATGTTTGAACTTCTGACACAGGAGAAAAAGATGAAACTTCTCACAGTGGCTGATGGCAAAAGGAGGCTACACACTCTTGCTTTCCAAGCACAGTTTGCTAAAGACATTCTCCTGAAAACGTTTTGATATAACACAGAATACATAGTTTCATTAATGATGGCAAGTTGTCCTGGTCCAAAGACAGCAAATCAGCCCCAAAACATTATGCTGGCCCAACTGTGCTTCTTCTGAGTTTTGTTGTAACCAAATCCGACGGTTCTCATTTAAAATCAAAGTTCAATCTACTCATCGGTCCACAAAACATTCTTTCTCATCCACATGGTCTTAGGCAAATTTGAGGTTGGTAGAAATGTTCTTCTTATTGAGCTGTGGCTTCCTCTGTTCTGTCCTGCCTGATTGTGAAGAAATTACCGCTAACTTTAGCCAGTTCATGAGAGGCCTGTGCTCTGGGGTTTTGTGACCTCCTAAAATGTCTATTGTTTTGTTCTTGGAGTGATTTTTGTTTGGATAAGCATGCTTAGGCAGAGAAACTGGTGGTAAATGTATAAAATGTTTCCATTTGAACAGTATCTGCCTGATTGGTGGACATTAAACTTTTTTTTGCACTTTGAAAAACATCAAAAACTTTTTTTCTGGAAATCAACTTTGCAATGACAGGATTTTATGATGATGTCATCACTACCATGCTGTTCAGAGCATGCAGAGTACTTCCATATGCGTTACATATTTTTCTCTTGGCTGTTTACTCTCATACTGTTGGCTGTTGCACAATTGATCAGGTTCAACCTTTATCCCTCCTTAATACCAGTGCAATATATCATCAGATAAGTTATTTTGTGACCGGTCTGTCAAGTTGTATTTATAACTGGGAGCCTCTGGGATAATTTTGAGTTGGGCGGGCCAAGTCAAAATTATTTATTTTTTTTTCTCAGAGCTGGACATGAACTGACACTGCTGTGCAAGTATTTGAATGAGTGCTTTCCAAGACAGTCTAATAGACCCTTTTTCAGTTAGTAAACATTGTGAAGTTTTTTATGGGCGGAGCTTAGGTGGAGGCAGAAAGATTCCCATGACCGCTTCACTAACACTAGCTAGCAAATTTTGTTTGCTTGTTTTTTAACAATGACTGGAGAAAATTTGATTTTATCTGAATATGTAATGTCACTAACTGTCCAGGACCGCAGTTGTTATTTGAAAATGTTAACTTTAACTGAAGGAACCAGATTGGCCGACTCGTACACACTCATTCAATGGATGGACTACAGGAGTGGCCTGACACACCTACCAGATATAGAAATCGAGCGTGTATAGTAAATAGAAACTGAGGGCATCTAAATCTTTAGATGCCTATAACTATGTACTAACAGTAGCAATTGTAAGCAAATGCAACTACCGTATTGGCCCGAATATATGACGACCCTGATTATAAGACGACCCCCATTTTTCCAGATGTACCTTTTGGAAAAAGGCTTTTTAAAAACCAAATCTTGTTTTTTCTCAGTAAAACACATTTTGTCTTCAATTATTTTCATTTTGCATATTTTTCCTATTTTCATTTTTGTTTTGAAAGTATGGTAACTAATAGTAGCCTACCAAAATCTTATTAACAGTAGAAGTTAAATCTTACTGTAGTCTTCAAATCTGGGTACTGTCTTACGTTTTAAAATCACAAAGGGAGTTTGGTCGCAATCTTTACAACACGCATTTACGTATTTCATGGCACACTCGTTTTATGCATATTTGGCACCACCTATTGTTGTGGGTGTATTATTGACATGTCAAAGTCTAGACCCTGAATATAAGACTACTGCGTTTGTTTCAGATGTATTTCCAAGAGAATATATTCGGGTCAATACAGTACTTGAACACACACCTGACACATAACATGGGTCTTCACTGTTCCCTCTCTCTACAACTGCACTTATGGCAATTGTAGAACGCGAGACGACACAAATGGTTTCCTTTATGTTTAGCTGCTAGTCATTAGTTAACTTCCCAATTTCTGATTAGGTGGGCATGCATGAGAAATCTTTAGACTCGTAACCAAACCATAATACATAAAAGACAAGAGTTTATTTAACCTTAACTGATATTAAGTGTGCGCTGCATTTTTGATGGTTGCTTCTGTCCAGTCCGCTTGTTTTATTTCAGCTGTCATCGGTTTTTTGTCTGGCAATGGCAGCAGGTATGTGATAAAACTTCAAATTGGAGCCTGTACTCCATCAATTCTGACACTCAGAGATGACATTTTAAGCTCCTAATATAGCGGACTCTATGCTGGTTTGTATTGGCCACCTCCAGTTATTCCTTTGTTTTGCCTCCAGCTACTGCTGTGACGTAATTGTGACGTTGGCACAAAAAGAGTCTAGATTGTGGAATCAGTTATTTCCAACATAGGCTCATTAGAAAATCCTGTTTCTTGCAGAACTCCAAGAACGTACCTATACTGTATATATAATTCAGTGCAGTTTCCCACTAGCGGCAGTAAAACAGCAACAACTTGTATTAATTTTCACACAAATTATGAATAAAGGGGCAGATTATCCTCAAAACACTTTTAACAAAAAAATAATAATACTAATTTCATGTTTGTATCACATAACCAGTTCCATATGTATGGCTTTTATGATGTAGTAAGCTTGCTCAATAGCTCACCTGGTGTAGCATTGCACTTGCGATACAGAGCGCTGGGGTATGAGCCCTATGAAACTCAAATCATGAGAAAACAGCTCAAAGACTTGTAGAAGCAAGATAAAGGGGCGTGGCTGCTTTAGCAATTGCATTTTTGTCACATTTGCTTTTGTTAACACTTCTGGTTAGATTCAGGGTAGGGTTTAGTGTAGGTGTGAATGTGACACCTACAAAAAACAACAATAAAATAAACAATAAAAGTTTCCACATTCATGTTCATCTGTTTTGGAGAAATTTGAACACTCTTTTAGTGCCATTCACTGGACATTTCTCTCTGAGTGCTACAAAATGTGCAAGAAGCATTGTAATTTCATGAGATGTCGTCACATGAATGTTTTTCAAAAATGACTGGTTGCTTTATTTGTTGGTCAGCCGGACATGTCTAAGTTTACAGTTCTGGGCCAGAATAAGCTGTAAAATGGGCCAGACTTTATGCTAAACTTTGGGCTTATGGGACACTTAACAAAGGTCACCGCTAGCACATCTGAACTCACAGAGGCTCAAGAAATGTGGAATGCTCTTGGACTAATTGTGGTTAATTTCCTTTTGTTCATCATGAACTCAAATCTTTAGATGGACCTGTTGATCCAATAGTTTCTCAGTGCATCTAATCTTTACTAATATATCAGTTAGAGCGACTCTCAGACGTGTGGATCAGATGCCCAGACAGGTGTGTCTGCCATTAGTTAATGATGTACTCCCCTGGTTAGGATCAGGTTTCCTGCTGTTGCTTGTCAAAGTAAACTGTTCTAATTGAAAATGTAAATGTGTCATCTGCACCACCCTGATTCACTAATTGATCATGCACCCTACTGTGCATCTATGCTTGCTATGTTACTTGCCAAATGACCATCAATTGTGCATACATGCAAAATCCTGCACGAAATGTTAACATGCCACAGTTATAGCTATTATACTAATCTAAAACAGGGAAGCTTAATACATTACAGCTAGTCTGCAACTGGATTTTCACCAACCAGTGCAACAATACTAGTCAAAATGAAAGGAATTGCAGAACTTTGAATGGATGCATTTGGATGATGAATGTGAACCCATTCCCACTGGTTTCTGAGAATGTTTAAGAGTCATCTGTTATAAAAGACAAGTTGTTAGGCACTATTCACCAGTCTATATTAGATAGTGGAAAGATGCCATCTCTTTGTCATCATAAAAGACGAAAAAGGTAATGCAGCTCTCTCTCCTGTGATGTCTGAATGATTTCTTTCAAGCAAGACTTAGGGACTAACAACTAAGCATGGTAACATTTGGAGATTATAACAGATTTATCAAGTATGAAAATATCAAGACAGCAACAAGC